AGACAGTTATTTTATCTTCCTCTGACTTTAAAGATAACACGCTACCAGCATGTGAAAGGGCATCGTTTTTCTTCTCTGGGAGTTATGATCTTGGTCCTGCTCCACCCCACGGATTACAGCTTTGCAGTGGAGCTGTTATTGCTTAAAAAGCAGATCAAATCACACATTCCCACCCTTTTTTTCACTTCATCTTCTCTGCGCCCCAGAACTGGCACACTGATGGCAGAGAGCAGCTTACCTTAGCAACCGCTCCCGCAAATAGGGCTCAGGTTCCCAAGTGCACAGGGAATTGCAAATTGGAGAGAAACTGTGTGTTCAGAAATAAATATTTTTCACACCTTGGCAAAGCACATTTCGCCTTGACTTTCTGAGTAATGATGCACTGTCCTCCGCTATCACAGCTTTGCATTTCATGCCGTCCCTGGAGGACTTTTCCTGCCCATCTCAGCACTAACACTGCAAACAGCAATTGTGGTGTGAGAAGGGGTTGTTCAGTACTGGATGCATCCAAGGAACAAATCTGGCTATGGCCCTGGCACGTTGGGATGGGCTTTAATCCCAGCAAATCCTTTGTTTGACGGGGCAAATCCTAGATGAGGAACTTCATTGATGAAAACAATCGTGGGGCTGGAAGCAAGGAGTGATTTGTTGGCTCAGATGAGACTTGTGGCAAAATCCACACCGATTCTGAGGATGCCAGAATTTCACGTGAAGCTTTTTATGGCATCCCAAGCAGAGCACATGATGGCTGAGTGAAGGAACTGCTCCACGGGAGGCTCCAACCCAGCCCAACACCAGCCCAACCCAACCCAATATTATCAGTTGTAACGGGGTACTAAAGGCAGCTTTTCCTTACTGCTCCATCACAGCCACAAGACATGTGAGTGGCCCGCTTCACCCAGCTATTTCCCCTGGTTTTCAGCCTTCTGCTTATTTGTAGGAGGATGTTTGTGCTTTCACCACCAGCCACATGCAGCATTCCTGCTGTTTTAGAGGACCAGTGTATCCCAAGCATCCTCCCATGGGCTGAGGGAGCGGTGCTTGTCAGGAACCAGTGTGGGTGAAGGATGCTATGAACGTTCCCTTGGGAGCTGGTGCATTTGGGGGCAGGTTGGGGTGTCGGGGATGGGCTGGCCTTGCTATGAGAGGTTTCCATTTTCCACCTTCCAGGCAATCGCTGAGGAAAGAGATTGCCTCATTCTTTCGTGTACGTATATCTCGTCTCGTGGTTGCCGAGGCAACACTGTATATGTTTGCAGGCTGGAAGGATCTGGGGATGGAAAATGAAGCCAGGGAGTGGACCGAGGAGAGAAGTCCAGCAGGAATTTTCCTCTGGTCTTTAGCGGCCGATTGGTTCTCGCTAATTTAAGCCCCTCTCCTGGGATTAGTCATCAAATCTGAGATTTCCATTTTTATTATTTTAAATCAACCACGGCCGCTCCTGGGAGGCCGTTTTTCATGTTAGAAATTAACCTCGCTGAGATGCAGCTGGTGGGGGCTGCGGGAGGGGAGCCAGCAGTGGGGGTAATACCATAGAAACACAAACAAGGTACAACAGCTCTGCTTCCAGCCCTGCACCGGGACACCTGCGTTGTCCCACTCATTGCCTGTGCTTGGTTTTAGGGTTCCCCTGGCTCAAGGCATTGCTGGGGTGAACCTCATTTCTTTTCCTCCCAGCTTTAGGGTCACAGGGCTGCAGAGGTGATGGAGGGAAGATGGCATTCCCTGCCAGTGCTTCGTACAGGGACACGGAGTGGTGATGTTCTTTGCCTGCATGGGGACACATGTTACACAGCGTTACAGCAGAGCGTTTTCAGCTGTTGGGAAAAAGGCTGTAAAACACAATTCTCACCATAAGCAGCCCTGTGGGCCTGGGGTACATCAAATCGGGTATTTTGCCTCTGGCAGCAACCAAAACCTGATGCGCCAGCGGATGGTAAGCCCTCAACTAATCCCTTTAATTGTTTAATACCACGGCCAGCAAGGACATTTTTTCTGATCCCATTAATCTTTGCTATGAAGGAAAGGCTGTTGTAACCATATCCATAGCTTGCGACCCCCTGGTTATTCCCATCATCTAAATAACCAGCTTTCTGTAGCCACCCCCCAGTAGGTTAGCAGGAGAGAGGGAAAGATGAGTCTCTGTATCCCAAATGGAGATGGGCAGCATCCCAATGGGAGATGGGCAGCATCCCTGTGCTGCTTGCCTGCACCCCACCTGCTCTCCAGCTCCATCACGTTCATACAAAGGGAAGGAAAGGAAGCACGGGAGGGAGGGGGAGAGGGTGTTTCTGGTATTGAGCAGCAGTGCAGGGCCATTTCTCTCGGCAGCTGACAGTGTAAATGCATTTCCTGGCAAGCAGCTCGCTGTGTATTAAAATTCTTGATGAAGATTATTAAAGTGTGTTTATGAAAAGCCTGCGAGTGCTTCTTGGACTCCGAGCTGGCTTTTCAAAATGAGATGTTTGGGTGCGGGCTGAATGCTTGTGGGTTATTAAATCCAGCCTGCCCCAGCCCCAATGCACGGGGTGCAGCTATCCATGCAGCCTGTGCAGCCCCTCACCATGCCCAAAGCATTGCTGCAGAGATATTTGGGCATGCTGCAAGATGGAAGGAAATGCTCATGGCCCCTTGAACCCCAGCTTGGGCTGCAGAGGTGTGATGGGAGATGTGGGGCCATGCTCCAGCCTCAGTGGGGTCTGTAGGGCTGGAGCAGTGAGCCCTGCTGTTTGTGCTGGCAGAGCTTTGGGAGATGTCTCTGCACTGGAGACAGAGCCCTCCATTGCCACACACAGAACATCCCACCCACTGTGCCAGCAACTCTGCTGACACCTCGAGGTCCCCCAGCACCACGTACCCACCTGCACGCTCTCCTGACCCAGCTACAAAAAGCCCCTTGCACACACACACACGCACAGATGCATACACACCCACCTCCGTGTAATCCCTTGCACACACGTGCAGACGCGCACACAGCTTCATGCGCACCCCTTGCACGCATGCTTGTGCAAAATGCATGCACACCCCTTGCACACACACACACATGCTGCCTGCACACCCCTTGCACACACACACACATGCTGCCTGCACACCCCATGCACACCACGAGCGCCCGGGGCAGCAGCTTTGGCCCGGGGCTTGGCTCACTTTCCTGCATGCTTTCCCCTTCCAGCCTCAAGCAAGGATTTTTAACATGGGAGACCAGGTTGTATATCTAAATATATGTCCTTTAAAAAAAGACGTTTCCAAGAACAATGGTGGAAGCAACCCAAAAATGTGCTAAGGAGGACGAATGCATCAGGACTGGAGTCCAAGCAAAATATCGGAAGGGTGAATCAGAAAGGAGGAAAAAAAATAGGAACGTATGGAGTTTTTAAAAGTCTTTTTTTTTTTTTTTTTCCTTTTTAATGTTAATGGCAGTTTTTCAATTTGAGCTTCAAGTGCTGGAGAAATGTGTCAACTGCTGCTGCCCTGAGCCATATTTCGGAGGGGTGCAAAAGCATTGTTGTGGTGACACGTTCAAGATGGTTTCAATCCAACCCCTTTTAGCCATTGCAAAAATGTCTTTGCTATTATTATTATTAATTGGGCTCATTAATTTGTGTCCTGCACTTTCCCTCAGCTCCTTTGTCTCTGTGCAGAGCGATTCCCCTGGTGGCGTTTGATTAGTGGGGCTAATTAGAGCCCACTTCCACAGGTTGGGCTCAGCCATAGCTCCCCAGTCCCTCCCAGCTGCAATTAGAAACAATAGAATCACTCAGCTTGGAGAAGACCTCTCAGATCCCCAAATCCAACCCCAGCCCACCCCATGCCCACTGCCCACATCCCCCTGGTGCTGGAACACCCCCATGGACAGTGACCCCACCACCCCCTGTGCAGCTGTACCTGTTAACAGTGGGGAGTGATTTATGGCAGCTTCTCAAAGGGTGAAAACTGAGCTTTTCTTAAATCTCTCTACAGGGAAGTCAGGTATGCACTAACCTACAGGAAAGCTATGGGGTGAGCAGATGGCACGAAACCAACACGAGTGATGGTGAAGTTATGAGGACAAGGGCAGCTTGTGTCCTATGGGATGGCACTGCTTTCAGGCTGCAGGGCTGGAGCACGTCGTGGTGTATGGTCATGAGCACACCTCACCTCTTGGGTTTGCTCCTTCCTTTAGGATTGGCTCTGCCCCTTTGCTTGCCTGAGCTCTCTGAGCCCCGCTCCCGTCTTAGTGGAGGTCGCAGCCTAAAGAGCCTAAAGAGGTCTGATTGCAGAGTGTGGATGGAGAGACCATAAAATAAAAAAAAAAAAGCAATAAAATCTTGGATTTGATTGCACGAAACAGGAAGAAAATCAGTTCTCCAGGCCAATCAGGATGGCCCAGGCAGAGGTGGGATCACTCCCAAGTTCATACTTGGTGACTGCAGCATCCGTCAGGGCTACAGACAATCTGCGTCTCATTAATCATCCCATATAAACAGAGGGGGACTCTCTGGAGCAGAGCGGTGTCGCTGGATGAATGGCCTGCTCTTGGAAAATAAACATTTCCAACTCTGCCCCGGCGTTTATTTTTACAGGATGCCTTTGCTGTGCTGCAGCGCTTTGCTGACAGCAGGACATGCACTGCCCTGGGACACCCCAGACCCATCCCGGGAGGCCTGGAGTGATGCAGGGTGAGAAACATCCCCTTAGAATGGCATTTTTTGTACAGAAATTGGGAGCTTTCTTTTTTCCCATCTGCGAAAGCCTGCCAGGTGCAGGCTGGGATCCGCGCTCACCCAAACATGCCTTTAATTCTGATTTATTAAGATGGTTATTGTATAGATGATTAGAAACATACTCTGGGAGATTTAAGGGCCTCGGAGCAGACATGCAGCCATTACAGAGCTGTTAATCCTCTATAAATATGCTTTTAATCATGCCAATATTTAACATTCGATAACTGTCCTATTAAATGTAACATATAGCTGGTGGCTTTGATATCAAGAATGACAAGCTATTGCTCTCTCCCACAGGCTCACTGACTTCTGCTGCTCAGGAAATACCCCCAAACCCACCTGTGTACGCTCACCCCACCCCTCACCCTCCCACCCCAAGGCTCTGGGTTGATGCTTGCACATTCCTGCACAAGGACCACCAGCAGGAGAGGGATTTGCTGCAGGCTGTGGCAGGTGAGAGCCTTTTCACAACTGGAAGGGATCGCTGAGCCCAGCTCCTTTTGTTGCTGCCTGCTTGTTCCCTGGCATCACCCAGTGCATCTTCTGCCTTTGCTCTGCAGAGCTGCATGCAGTTCTGACATCAGGAAGAGTAAATTTCATGAGCAACCCATATTTTGGGGCTTTTCTGGTGGACAGAAGGAAGCAAGCACACCCCGTACACTCAGTTGGTTATGAATGACATAACCTGGGCAGGTTCCCATGCGGCTGTTCCACACAGTGGGCAGGCTATGGGAGAAAGCAGGCTGTGTATGTGAAAAAAAACAATAAATGTCACTCTGTGACATTATTTTAGCTGGAAAATGCTCCCCAGCTCACCCCAGCACACCACTCATCCCATACATCTCACAGTGCTTGGGGAAAAGGGCGGCTGCCCTTTGCCATGCAGGAATCCCAGCATGAAATGATGTCTGTGGCACTGCTGGGTCCATGCCAAGGGCTGAGGTATCCCCGTCTGCCTCGGCTCTTGTGCTTCCTTTGTTGATGGTTCTGCAAATCGATGCTTTTGTCCCCAACACCACCCGGCTGTCCCTTGGCCGGGGCAGGACAAGGGGCCATTCTTCATGGAGAACAGTTGGGGATCTCATGGCAGGGTGGTTGGCCTCCAGCCATCGCCTCCCACCGCCCTCCACACCTCGGTCACAGCTGGGCCATGCCATCCATTGGGACCCATGCCATCTGTGGCAGGGGACAGGAGCAGCCAGCAGCAGCCAGGGGTGGCCCTGTGTTCACAGAGCATCGCTGGAGCACATCCGACAGAAGGGCTCGGATGAGAGGGGCATGGAGATCTGAAGGTGTTCTCTTAAAATGGGTTCGTTTGCACATTTCTAGGAGGGGTGAGGGGCTGCAGAGTGCTGTGTGATGCTCGGTGCTCTGAGCTGCTGGCTCACTGCCGACAGCACAAATGCAACAAATAAATGGCTCCCCCATCTCCTGCAAACCCAGGAGCAGCCCAAAGAGTGAGGATTAAGGCCCCCAGTGCTCCCAGCTCCGTTTCCAGCACCTCACCTCGTGCCTCGGTGCCTCTCCGCAAGCTCTGAGCCAGGCAGGCACTTGGAGCAGGAGCTGTTTGCTTTGGCTCACAGCAGGCTTTGTGCAGTCGCCGGCCAGCTTTCCACAGCCCACCCTATGGACATCCCTCCCTGAGCACCTACCTGGGCCGCCGGCACCACTGCATATTTTGGCTGTGCTGTGCTTTTCCTGTGCCCGACCTCCCCCTGAAGATGTCAGCTGGGGGGGCTGTGAGGATCTGCCACCCCCTGCCCATCTCTTTGTGAGCCATCATTTCCAGCCCTGGAATATTCCCTGCATCTTTTTGCATCATTCCCTGTGGGAGTGTGGTGTAGCTCAGGATGCGGGCGGCTGTGTGAGCAAGGATGCTCAATGTGGAAAGAAAGGGGAAAATAAGTCACAGCTGTGACTTTTAGCCCTTTGCAGTCCTCAATGCTCAAAATAATGCAGGATCTGAGAGAGGGCAGGGGCACGACTCGGTGCTGCTCACCTTCCCCAAGCACAATGCTTTCAGAATCCTGAATAGATGTTTTCATCACATCGAAACCTGCCTGCAAAATGCTGTCTGGCAGAACTCTATTCAGCTGGAAAAACACCGGCTCGCTCTTGCTTTGAGTTATCTCTACGGACCTCATACAAAGTCTCATTTATTTGCTCCCTTTTCGGATGGCCTCCACTTCTCCATCTCCAGGCGTTCACAAATCACGATTTGCATCTCCAGCATCAGCGCTCAGCAAGAACTCTCTATTTCATTTTGCTTCTGTTGCTGCTGTTTCTTCTGCCTTTTGATTCCCTCTTGGACGTCTTTGAGCTTTTTGCTGACTCTAAGAGCTAGAAAAATGTTTTTTTCTTTAGTGCTTCAGATGCTAATGAAATTTTTCAGCCCCAGCACATGAAATCAAGCAAGCATTTGGTGTCTGTCAGCTCCCAGTGAACTTATCTGCACTGCAGTAGGGCTGGCTATGTTTAGGGCTATAACACAACAGCACAAAGTCATTGTTATCCTAGGACCATGCTGTGCTATTTCTATCCTGCTACCTGGAGGGAGCAGGGACACTTTTGGCCACTCCAACTCAGTATTTTCCTGGGGGAAATCTGAGTGCAAACAAAGTAAGTCGGTACATCTATCTAGGGACATCTGGGGAGGTTCATTTTTTGCCGAGTGCAGAATGCTTTGACAGCTTCGTTCAGTTCTCACTTAGGTGAAATCTCTGCTAAAAGAGCAGTGCTGCACTGCACAGCTGCCCAGGGAGTGGGGGGTCAGTGTCCCTGGGGATGCTCTGTAACCATGGGGATGTGGCACTGAGGAACGTGGGCATGGTGGGATGGTTGGGGTTGGCTTCAGTGATCTTGGAGGCCTTTTCCAACCTTTCTGATTCTATGATTCTGTACTCCATGTGCTGCAAACCGGGCCTTGGGCTGCTTTGGGATGGGGCTGTCTCCATCAGTGCTGGGCACAGATTGGCTGCGTGGGGGCTGTTTGAATGGAAAACCTTCCCTAGAAAACCCCTCGTGGCTGCAACTCCTCCTTACACCTCTTTCAGAGCCTCATATAGCTCCAATCTGCTCCTAATGAAAGCAAGCCAAACCCTGCTTGCTTCCTACCACCCACAGGCAGTCAGTCCACCAGGCCCAATTCTGGCAAACTGGGCAAGGTTAAACCTACCCTTAGTGCTACCGGCCCCTATAAAGAGTCTGACAACAAACCACCCCAAAAGCATGAAGGACATCTGTCCTTCCCCAGCATCTCCCCCGTTCTGGTGCTCCCTGGCACCAAAAGATGGAGGTGGCCAAGGAAGGCCACAAAGTTACTTCATTCCTAAATCATTTTCCCTCCTTTGCCTTCGTTAAACTGCAGTGCACCCTTCCGTGCGAGGAAATGGATCCACGTTCCTCTTTTACTGCTCACAACTATTTGGTGATTAAGAAAACGGGGGAGCTGGGGGCACTCATTCTTGACCTCGGGGAAGGCAGGAGGCTTATAAAAGCTCTAAGTGCTGCAGAAATTACGAGGCAATTAAAAATCAGGGCCAGAGCTGGGCCCGGGACAATAAAAATGAGAGGAACTGATGTCAGCCCCGTGCAGGGCGTGGGGACCCACAACCTGTTCAGCCCCAACTGGAAATGCAGGAGCATTTGTCTCGGAGTTTACCAAAGCTGAGCTTGGGTTTTTTGAGCTTCTAAGAGCCAATGAACCCAAAAGTCAAATGGAGATGTCAGTGCAGATTAGTAGGGTGCATTTTCTAATTGCAGCTCTCGTTTCTTTTGGAGCTGGGTGTTTCCAAGAGCAGGAACTGATGTCCTCAGGTGAGGCTGTGTCAGACCCAGGGGGGTGGTGGAGCCCCCATCCCTGCAGGGGTTCAATAAGAGGATGGATGTGGTACTGAGAGGCGTGGGCAGTGGGCATGGCAGGGATGAGTTGATGGTTGGAGATGAACCCAGTGGTCTTTTCCAACCTTAATGATCCTGTTCTCTTCTATAACCAGTGGTTGGGTTTTTCCTTCAGGTGTCAATGACTTCTTGTGCAAACTTCTCGTGTTCAAGTGTGTGGTGGCAGGGAGCGAATGCTGCTCTCTGCATCCTCTTAGGAAAGTCCCAGAAAGTGTCACCTGGCTCTTAGGCCACGCTGAGAACATTTGCCCACGTCCTCTGATCAGCTGTAAAACAGGAAAAGACCAAAAAAGGAGAGTTTTTCAGTCTGCATTCACTAAGCTCTCACCCAGCAGGTTTGCTCAAGTTTGGTCATGTGTTTGCCTGTCTGCACTGGAGTGCTGGCAGGATGAGAGCAATGTGGGTCTGTTTCCTTGGCACTGAAAGGGCCCAGAACAGAACCCAGCTCTGGCCCAAATGTCCCAAAAGGGTCCTGGCCACTGTGAGCAGCTCCAGTTGGAAGCAAACTCCCCAAACCAGGTGGGTGAAGCCGAGAACAGGCACAGCTCATTGCACATAAATGATGGCGTTCTCACATCCTCCCCCAGCATCCACTGCACTGATCAGTTCTGCACATTTCTGCAGTGAGTGCTGGCATTTCCCCAACCACATCCACAGCAGCACAGACCAGGAATCCCATTTCTCCATGCAGATCTCAGCGGGATAAACGCCGACCACAGAGACATTTTGCAATGCCTTGCAGCATTTCAAAACGTGCTGTGTGTGTCACAGTGGGGTGGAAATATTTCCGTGGCAGAACTGCATTGCAGCATCTGCATTCAAGGGAAGAGGGCTGGGGCTGCCTGGGGGCATGCTGTGTGTCAGTGCAGCACAGCTGGCTGGAAGTTTGGTGAAGCACTGCATTTTGGGGGGTGTTGGTGCTCAGTGGGACAGCTGTGCCATGGCAGGGCTGGGAGCTGAGCCTCAGTTCCTGACTGCCATTCGTTGTTGTTTCTCTTTATCATGCACTCATGTGCAGGGGATGCTGGCACAGACAGCCTTGGCTGCAGCATGGAGACATGGCAGTGCTTGCACCAGCAAAACCCAAACATGCAAGTGGGAACCACAGGCAGCCCACACCCACGTGGGACCTCAGGGGCCCTTTTTGGTGTTGAAGCACTCTGCAATATGGTGGCCCCAATGCACGGCCCCTCCACTGCCAGCCCCTCGCCCCAGGCTCTTGCAGCTCTGTTTTTATGGGCAGCTCGTTAGCTTCCCTGCTCACTCAGTTTATGTTTGCTGGCTCTCGCTGGCGTTTCCCTCCCTGTAAAACAAGAATGCACAAACACGGGGAGAGGGGTCCCAGCAAGGAGGGTGCATGTGGGAAGCAGTGGGTCTGGGTTACCCTTAGGGTTGGGAGAGAGGAGGACAGAGGGATTTACCCGATGCCCTCACTGCCTTTAGCCCTTCCCACTCACCAGATACTCTGCTTCTCTCCTGTTTCAAAGGCAGCATTAAAATCCCAGGCCCTGCTGAGAGTGGTGTGGCTGAAGGTATGAAATCCAGCCTCGCTGCTTTGTTTCCTGAATGATATTCATCCCAGCTCATGCTATCAGATTGGCTTTTTTTTTTTTTTCTTTTAGATTTTATGAATGAGTGTAATCCTTCAGCAGGAAGGGAGGTGTCAGCTCAGATGCTTTGGTCCTCATGTTTTGGTGGTCATTAATAACGCCTGCAGTGCTTTCTGGAAGTGTGAGCCAAAGGCTTGGGATGTAACAGCTTCCTAGTGGAAAAAGTGAGTTTCTTCCAAATCAAAAGGTCTCACAAAAACAACACCTGGTTTCTGATATCTTCTTTTCACTTCATTTCAAATGCTTTGCTCTGCTCTCGTAAAAAAAAAAAAAGAAATGTGAGTGTAAAGTATTATTGTACATCATTTGCCTTTGCCTTGTTTGAGGTGCGATTTTATATTCAGATCCGTATTTGTAGTAGAGATGCCTGCTTTTAACAAGTCATTAGACACCAAAGGGAAATATTTGTGCCTGGTTAGCAGGGAGCAACGGCTCGCTGCCCAGATGGAGCATCCAATGACACGCTGCCCAAATGGAGCACCACGGCTATTTGTAGCTGAAAGGGAGGATGCATTAAGTCTTGCTGGAGCCAGGCTGTGCCCAAACCAGGGGAACACCCCCAGAGGTGTGCCTCACCCCCTGGATGCCCCGTCCTGGGAAATGCAGGGGATGGGGTACCCGAGCAGGGCTGTGTCCTCAGATCCACGTTCTGCACTGTGCACACGGGAGCGATGCTCCCACCCGTGGATTCATTGCAGCTGCGTGCCTCCACCTTGTGATGGATCCCAGATGATTTCTCAGCCAGAGCAGTGCAGCCACTCGTGTTAGATTATAAACTGGAACTTTTACAGGCTGTATGTGGGGTTTGTGGCTTCCTTTCTCTCTCTCTGTCTCCGAAGTCCGTGTTTCTTAATAAATCATCCTCTAGCCCAAGCTGAGTCTTGCTGTTTTAAGTTTAACTAGCTTATTTTTTTGCTGATAAGCTGGACTTTGAATTCTTCTCAAGATCACAGGTCGGGGCTGGTAATGTCATGAAGGAGAGACTGTTAGCTGTGATATATCACATGCCAATGAGGACGGCACGGACAGCTTGCTGCGAGCAGCTCGTTTCCCCTGTATCAGCATTTACAGGCAGAGCACTTGTATCTTGCAGAGGTGGTGGGAGGGAAGTCAGGTCTCCCACCAAATATAAATTATGTCTATTGTTGGAGCCAACTCAACAGAGTCACAGAGCAGAGCTCTAAGGTATGTGCAAAGGGTAAGGGAAAAACGGGCACCAGTGGCAAGGAGATGTTCTGGTATGTGCCCATTTCTTACACTGTATTGGTGCAAAGGATTTTGTTAAGGCTTTGATCCTGACTTCACTCCTGATTTCTTCTTTTGAACCATCTTCAGTCCAAAGAAACCCAAATCCACCCAAGTTTGGGGCTGAAGGGTGGGGTGTAGCAAAGCTGCAGTGAAGTATATCTGCTACACCCTCTTGCTCTCTTTTATTCTTCTTTGCCACCACCCTGACAGCAAATAAATTTCTGTTCTTGACAGCTCCAAGCAAACACATTACATTCTCAGATCCATCATGCTCTGATCCTTGTTCTCATAGCCAGTGACCAAGCTCCTTTCCCAGTATTGCCATTGACTTTGGCCAATTGCTCCCATGGCCATGCTGCTATATGGACATGTCTGCTCAGCACTCCTTCTTGGAGTCCACAGCAACTCCCATCACGTCCCATAGAGACTATAGTCCCAAAATCACATTCCTGTTGGGTTAGTCCTCCAGAGGCCAGCGGAGGGCATAGCACAGTTCATCCTTATCAGAGGAGCTTTTATCTGGCTCCTGCTCCTTTGCAATAACGGGGGGAGCTGATCTGGGGCTCCCTGCAGTGAGAGCATCTTACTCAGTGCCCCACTGCTCCAGAGACAGTTCCCTGTGCTGCAGGGATCAGACAGATTGTCGCGTCGGAAAATTTTTGCTGCTTGCCCAGCTGGGGTCTGGAGATCAGCCAGGGTCCCTCCGTGGGAAGACAAGATGTGGAGACACGGTGCGGATGCACTCGGAGCTTTGCTCTCTTCATGGGAATCTGTTTCACTTCTCCTTTTCTGTTGTATTTTTTTTTTTTTTTTTTCCTTTTGGAGGCTATTTTGATTCGAAAAGATTCTGGTTTTTCTGGTCTACGGTTCAGTTTTGTTTGTCTATAGGCTGCGTGCCAATGGCGTCTGCCCTGTCCCGGCTGCCTTAGTCATACAGTCACACAATCATTCAGGTTGGAAAAGACCTCTCAGATCATTGAGTCCAACCCCACCGTGCCCACTGCCCACATCCCTCAGTGCCACATCCCCACAGCTCTGGAACACCCCAGGGATGGTGACCTCCCACTCCCTGGGCAGCTGTGCAGTGCAGCATCGCTCTTTCTGAGAAGAGAACCAACCTGAACCTCCCCTGGTGCAACATGAGGCCATTACCTCTCATCTTTGCCTTCTTGCGAAAGCCACCAACACACACAGCATGAAAACACTTCTTCATTTTTCAAGGGAAGGATCATTTTTGCTGGCAAGCCCCTCGGATGTGGGCTGTGCACCCCACGATCAATCCTGTTGGCAGGGGTGCTGGCAGCATCCTCGGTGGCTCTGAGCATCCCACTGCCTTCCTCCTGCATCACTTTGTGGTTGAACCTCTGGGGTGAACTCCTTGAAGAAAGGAGAGCTTCATCACATATCTGCTGATGGATGGGTGTGTATTTACCTTGGCCTTCCCATCTCGTGGCTGCGGGTAGTTATCTGAGTGATGAATTCGTCCATGCGAGGACCTTTGGATCATGGGGGCAGAGGGAAAGCATCTATTACTTCGGTTTGGCATGGGGGGGAAGGAATAACAGAGAGGAGCCGGGTGGTGGTTGCACATCAAAGCCCATTTCTTGGCCTATCTCCTACATTTCATCTGGCCGTGGTGAAACTGCGGGCACAAGGAGCTGTCTTGCACATCCCAGCCTCGTGTCTGTGTCTGCAGGGGGAGAAAGGAATGTCTTGATTTCTGCATGCTGGGTGTGCTGCTCTCCTCCCTGCCTGCCCTGCCAGGGATGCATTCCTGCAGGGCAGAGAGCCCCAGGATCCCTCAGCCACAGGTCACTGCCGTGCCACCAGGAACAGCATCGGGGTGCATGGGCACTGCCAGCAGTGTGGGATCACTCGCTCTCCTCCTTCCCCCATCCCCAAAGCTCTCAGTGTGTTCTCCATGAGGGAACCTTTTGCCAGCATTGTGCAACACCGGCTGTGTTTTCCTTGAACTTTGCTCAGCCTTTATTCTGTACCACCAGGGGAAAGAGCATTGCTGGTTCCCCGTGCACACCGCTGTCACAGCCCCGTTCAGGCTTTGTTCTGTGTGCTGTCACCTTGTTGTCCCTGGGGCAGCCAGGCAGCATCAGCACAGCCCTCCAAGCATCCGGCTGCCTCAGCCCCTGGCTGCCAGCAGAGCTGTCTCACAGTGCTCCAAATGAGCATTGTGGCACAGACATGGGGGTGCACGAATATCAGGTGACAGCATCTCCCCCTCACCCCCCAAGAAATCCATTGTGTCCCTCCAGCTCTTCTTACTCCACGGCTCTTCCAAGGCCTCAGTGCCATCTGTCCCACTGAAAGCCATCACTCAGAGCACTGATGCCATACCAGGCACTGAGGCTTGCTATTTTATATTTTTCCCCCTTGGTTTTTGTTGCTCAGATCCAGGTATACTAATCCCACAGCATCAAACCATCTGCTCACAGATGGCAGCTGCTCCACAGGATGGTAAATTGATGTCTACACTGAGTTGGGTTGCTTGGGAGGGGACATGGAGGAGAAGACCCACATCTGGAACCTTCACTGAGCTGGGTACAGAGAACTGCCTCAAGGGAATGAGAGCTTGGTCTGGTGACAGCTGGTACTCAGACTTTTTATATCTAAAGATTCTGCAGGTGGGGCAAAGCCACGTGCATTGGGCAAAGCCATCTAATTTAGCCAAAGCTGCCTAAAGCATGAAAAAAGCCCTTCCCAAAGCTGCTGATTGGAGAAGCCTTTGTTCAAATTTGTTTCAATCTCTTGCAACCCATATGAACTCTAGAAAAAACTGCAAATTTAATCCCATAATGGCTTATATCTGGTGGGTTTGACTCTCCATACTCTGCCTGTAGGTATCACACATCAACCCAGGGTGTCTGTGTTGTGCTGACTCAAGTAGAAACTGGGAATTCCCCCTCCAGCAACGTATCAACCCAAACGGGAGTGGGAAACACAAGACCCCTACAGACCCCTTTCTGTGCCCAATTAACTCGTGCATCCCCTTCCTGCCTGCCCAGCAGCCGCCACAGTGCATCTTTGTGTGCAGACAGCCATCCTCACCGCGGCACGGCGCGGTGCTCCTCATAGGGCGGACAATGGCGTGGGCATGAATGGAGAATGCTCTCCTCTGTGGGGCTGACAACAGTGCTCTGTTCCCAGGCAAGTTGTCCTCGGGCTCCTGGGCACGTACTGCTCCCACCCCACACAGCCCCCGCTTTGATCCCACTGCTGGCTGCTTGGGTTTCCTTACCGCTCCTCCAAAATGCGGTGTGCCGAAAAGATTGGAGGAGGTGAAACCATCTCAGCCAACTTGACAGAGCAGAGAGGCTGAATTGGCCACAAACCCTCAGGGCACAGTGGGTTTCAGCATTTTCTCATGGCAGTTCTGGGTGTTGTGGAGAAGTAGGGTACGAATTGGATGTGGGAGTCCAAGATGGAAGTGAGGGGAAACTCAGATTTTGAATGACAAAATATGTGAATTGATAGAGCCCTTTTTTCCCTTTTCTACATTTCTTTAAATGAAGTTTTGAGGAATGTCCAAACATAGACAACTTCAGCCCAAATGGAATGTTATCCCCCCAAAAGAAAATTTATGAGCAACTTAAGAAGAAAAGGCAGCAAGAAGAAACTGAAAGCCAGATGTAACCATAACATTAGATGGCTTTTAGCTTAGTGTCAGATTGTGTAGGGGCTTTCACAGAGAACTTGGAGGTTTCTCCAATATCTGTAACGGGACATTGAGGCAACTGTGAACTTTAGGTCACTTGGTGCCTGGACTGCTGCCCATCTCCAATAGGAGTGTCTGACCATCTCCTTCAACTCTTGCTATCAGCTGCTGGAATGAGGAAGAGGGAACAGGCAGAAATTCCATGGAACCCTGCAAGCAGCACAGAGGCCCATCCTAAAGGCACAAAGAGTGAACTGAGTGCAGTGCCCATGCACACAGCCATACACTGGCATCAGCTGGTCTGCAAGCACAAGCCCACCTTAATGCCTTCTGCCATCCCATCTCCTTTGCTCCCAAAGGGACCAGGACATCCTGGCCACTAACACAGGGGTGTCCATGCGTGGGCCGGGCAGAGCAGCCCCTCCTGGCCCCCTGCCCTGCACCCCATGCAGCATTGGGTCCTGGTGCTCTCCAGCATGTTTAACTTCACTCTGTGTTTTGCCAGAGCCTGTTATTAAGAAATAAGGCTCTGCCTTTTTATCATTCCTCTGAGCGTCTGTCTGATGTCATTCTGTCTGGCAACCAAGCGATCAAAAAGGAGCTCCCCTGGGAGAAATTTCTCAAACAAACAGCCAGCAAGAAAAAAAAATAATACCCCATTAAATATAATACAACACAAGAAACCACAGTGTCTCCCTGATAAATGGAAAGGCGGTGTAGCTTAGAACACAAACACACAACCTTCTTCTAGCACCCTGAGCAGGGCGGCAGCGTGCCCTGTGCTCACCTGGGCCATTTTCCTTACCCAGAGCTGAGTCACAGCCTGGGCTCACGTCAGCAGCAGTTCTGGCTCTTCATGTTTTTAAGCAGATTGGGTTTTCACTCTTGTATAAAGCATATGCGAAGCAAATTCTGGCTCTGCTCCTACATACTCCCTACATCTGCAGGGATGATGAACACCCTGCTGCCAACCCTTTGGAGTCCATGGGTTCTAGTTTGGGCAGCTCTGATTCCTCTTCCTCCTTTCTCCCTCCCTCCTTCAGTTCTTGTGGTGTTGGCAGAGCTCCTGGAGCCCTGCTTGCAGCAATGGGCAAGGCTGAAGGAAGTCACAGAATCATAGCATCGTTTGAGTTGGAAAGGACCCTCAAAGGCCATCTAGTCCAACTGCCCTGTCAATGCAATCAAAGCAAAGCTCCCAGGTGGGAGAAGGAGCCCTATAATGCCAAAATATTTCACGGCCACTAAAAGGACAAAGCGCTGACTCGAATCTGGATTTGGAGAATGAAGACAAGAGGAATTTCTTTTTCAGCCTGTCAGAACAGAGGGTCTGAAAAGGAATTGTTGTGGAACGGAGCGCGTGCCGATAACAGCCACCCATCCGAGCTGGATGGCAGCTGACTGCTCTTGGATCCGTCGTGCACACATCTGTGGCTGAGATCCTCCTTTCCAAGCTGCTGCTCCTCAGAGCACTTCACAGAGGTGATTCTTCTTTGCAAGCCTCGTTCCCTCCTGCCTTGTAGATCTCCCTGCCATTTTCTTCCCTCCTGCAGGTCAGGGCAGCACGAGGAGTTGCAGCAGTCCCAGGGTACGAGTGCACATGTGCACCACTGCCTTTTTTTTTCAGAGGGTGGGAAAACTTTTGGAAAGTCCTGGGAGATTTCTCTTTTTTCCTGCTGCCTGAGGCCAGTTTCCTTCCTCGCAGATTGCAGGGTCCCAGGCGGTGCAAACAGCCAGAGCAGCCCAACCCTGCAATCCTTCCAAGGCAGCTCCGTGCATCCCCTGCCACAGCTCTTCTCTTTGCAGTGAGAGGGGAAACTGAGGCACGGCTCTGACCTTCTCCTCTTGCAAAGGAGATCTGCAGAGAGATGGGGGCAAATGACCCCTGTGCCAGGCAGTGACTTTGCTTCCCTTCTGCAGCCAGGAGCAGGGCAGGAGTGAGGCTGGTGGAACTCAGAGCAATGTAAAGATAAATTCAAGCTAAAGCAGTCATTCATATGTTCACTATGGGACAGAGGTGTGTTGGTAAATGGCAATTTTGCCACACTCCTGCTGCACTTCTGCTCGCTTGCTGCAGGTGTAGCATTCACCCCAAGCCCCACATTGAACCCTTTTGGCTCTGCAGAGGTGAGTCCCTGCCTCTTCCCACCATCTGCTGCTGTGGGCTTCTCTGCTCCTGTCTTGCAGGACTGCTATCTCCCACGCTTGGCTCAGGGAGCTGAAAGGTTTTTCAATCATCTGCTAATGATAGGAGAGCAGCTTTTATTCCCTCTCTCCCCCACTCTTGGCAGGAAAGGTGGAATGCAGAGCGCGAGAGGAGCAGCCACCTTTCAGGCCAACAGCTGCTTTGGGGGATGGGTTAGATAAATGTGCAGGGTTTCCAATCAGCCCCACATACCTCGGTCAGAAGGCTTCACTGGAGCATAACGTGGGGGAATGGCTGCTGATAACACCGTGTCCATCCCCACAAACTTTCCTGGAGGAACCCACACCACCGGAGGGGACTGCAGTGGCTCACAGCCTGACCCGACCCCAAAGGGCAGCGATGCAGATGGCAATGGGAAAATCAGGTCAGCGTGCTGAAGGTCAGAGGGATCTCCTCCAAACCATCTCTTGCTGCTTTTGGATGCTAAGAGGAACCAACTCTGCATTGAAGCACAAGGCAGGACCAAGGTGTGTTCTCCCCATGCCTCGTGAAGGGGGAGCGGGGTTGCAGCCCGACTGGGAATTTAGCTCTGGGCATTAAGGCTTCACCAACTGCCCATCAGCCATCACTGCCTGCTGGCCAGCAGGGTGGCAACGGGATGCATGGGCCACCAAGGGGCAACACCATGGTCTGTGGGTTTTAAGGCATGAGATAAGTGGGGAAAAAGTTCCTGGAAAGGAGATGCAACCCAGGGATGAGGATCTGCAGCCACCTATCCGGATGGGCTCTGCTTCATGCAGGGATGGGGACAGGGAAGAGGAGAGAAGAGCTGGGACCAAATCTTATCTGGGCCCTGCACAGCACAGCCTGCCATGGCCCGCTGAGCTGTAATCCTCCATGCTCCAAAATCAAAAGCTGTCTCTCCTTTTTTCTCAGTTGCCAACGGATAGAAATCCCACCAGAATCCAAAGCGTATCATTCCGGGGGGAGATTTATACTGGAGGAAGGAGCAGAATTGGTTATTTGATGATTGTTTTTTGTTTTATTTTTTTGTAGGTCCTTAATATCTCCCTTCCCTCCTTTGCTGCACAGCACAGATCCCCCTTCCAACACATGCACGAGAGCAGAGCCGAACCGTTCGCACAGAAAACAGGTGATAAATCACGGGGCAATTGATTCAAACCATTCCAGGGAATGGGAAACACATGGACGGCCTTTCTAATTAACTGTTTGATATGGCTGCGGTGAGTTTGGGTGTAGTTTCCAATGTTTTGCATTTGGCTTGTCTCAGAGCTCTCCATGGTAACTGCAGTTTACCGGAAAGTGAGAAAATCCTGCGTTCAACAGAGCTGAAGTGACTTGTTACAGTTCAGCTCAACCACAATAAAAAAGCAAAAAAAAAAAAAAGAGTAAATACAGTGTTTCCTCTGTGGGAACGTTCTCTTTTCTCTTTCTCTTTCCAGCTGGAAAAACACAACAAAATCAAAGGTCCTTCTGCTCCATCTGTCCATCTCGGATCTGTAGGTTCTGGTGGGTTGCAGGGCGTTGTCCTCCAGGGTTTGCAGCACAAAGGTTGAGAGCAGAGGGACACCAAAATGTGCCTCTCCCATGGGAGACCATGGGGTCAGCAAGGTGCCCTGGGGACACTCACCCCAACCCATCTCACTTCCAGCCAGCATCTCCCATATTCATCAGCTGCATGCAGCCAGCGCATTAAAATCTCATTTAAAAAGGAATCAAGGTTTAATCCATCTGTGTTTGAAAATGGTCTTTTCCCATATCCTGCTTTTGGCATGGCCTCCCAGCTGGGGCATTGCATCTCACCCCATAATGGGCACAGCTGCTGCAGCCGGGGGTCCCACGCCGGCACTGAGCAGCCAATGGAGCTGCCATGTTCATATTTTATCTTTTATTTGCTTTTTTTTTTTTTTTTTTTCCTCTTTCCCCCTATTTTACCCTTTCTGCACCACGACTCCCTGGGGCCCCAGCAGAACATCTGGCCAAGCCACTTCTGGTTCCATTTATTGGCAGATAATTTATTTGTGGACCAGAAGGGGAAAAACGACCCAACCGTTCAGTGGAGGTGTGTTGGTAGGGCCTTTGGTGATGCTGCTCAAACACGAGCTCCTTAGGTGTGATCCAGACCCAAGGAAGTCAAACACAGATCTCCCCTTTGGATGCAGAGCTGTCAGATCTCAGGCCAAACACACGGAGGGAGATCAGTCGAATCCACGCTCTGTGAATATTATTGGTATTCACAGAATAGCCTTATTCATTTGCTGGGAATATTTGGAGGTATTCACTCCTTGCACACAGTACCAGAGCAGCTCCCACTCGCAGAAGGAAATTAAAGAGTGCAAACCACCACTCCTCACTTTTCTGTCCGTTTCTCTTTCGTGCCCTTTTTGCCCCCATCCCTTTCTTGCAGTGTGTGAGCACAGAATAAAGGCAGCAGCATCACAGCCCACAGCACACGAGTGCTTTGAGGCAGGACAGCCCTCTGTATCCTTGCCTTCCCAGCACCCAGGCTCCCCCCCCATCACTTATTCGTGTTGCAGCAGCGAGCTCCACTCATTGCATGTGAAAAGGTGTCAGCAGGCTGCTCTCCTATCAGCAGGCTCATGGAGCTCTCTTAAGCACATCCAATGGCCGTGGATGCTATTCAGTTTCCCCCATGTTTGGCTAAAATTATTCAGCTTTCAAAAATATCAATGATTTTCTTTTTCCCTCCTTCTTTCCTTGCACAACCAAAAGCGTTGGGTTTATTTTTTCTTCAAATCAAAACCCAGAGGCGTTTTCCAAGGAGGCATTTTGGGGGAAAAAAAAGAAAAAAATAGTGAAAAACTTCACAAATTCAGCAGCCAAAAGCAATGGAGCCCTCTCCCCAGGGAGGAGTTTCATTTACTTCTGGCATTGCCACGCATACCAGTGGTCAGCCCATTGTACACGTGGCTAATCGCAGTGTATAGAGTGAAACAGGATTCTTTGCATTGACTTTTGGGAACAACAGCCTGAGCCTGAATGCTTCCCTGCACTGAAACACCTTCATGTGTGCACAGTGCAGCACCTGGCAGCTGAGGGGATTCTGAGCTCTCTGACAACTGCAGTTCCCCCATTTCTGGCTGGCAGCTGGGACTGATCTTTACAAGCTGCCCAATGTGGGGTCCCCATCCCTGGGGGTGTTCCAGAGCTGTGGGGATGTGGCCCTGAGGGATGTGGGCAGTGGGCACAGTGGGGTGGGCAGCAGTTGGATGTGATGTTCTTAGAGGTCTTTTCCAAGCTGAATGGCTCTGTCACCCTATTTCCATAGATTCAACCTGCGTGCCAACCTCTTGGGCAGGTTTTGGATGGGATGCTGGTGGGACCCCCAGCCCCTCTCTGTGGCTGACCATTCAGGCACAAGCCTCGGGCATCCACGTGCCACCAAGAGCTGCCTGGGGGCGAGGCGAGCTGAACTGCCCACTTTTCTGGGCTCACACAGAGGTTTCCTTCCCTCCCAGACTGCCCGTGCGTGACATCAGATCTCACAGCTCGGGCTCTCACGGGGCTTTTTCAGCTGTCATGAGATCAGCTTTTCCTGCTTGTGACCAAATCCAAACAATTAAAAAAAAAAAAAAGAAAAAAAGAAAAAGAAATCCAAGCCAAGAACAAAGTCACCAAATGCTTTCACAGCTTGGTAGGGCTTTGAGATGGGTTTCAGCCCTGCTCTCGTTTGCCTTTCTGTTTTGACAGCAGAGGAATCAGTGGGGCAGTGCAATAAACAGAGTGTTTACGGAAAGCAACTTTTTATCAGCATCTGATGGGTGTTTGTTTGGAGAAGCGTTAGCTGTAACCCATGGGGGATGCTGACTTCTGCAGTTCTCTGCCCCCATTAAGGACTTACTGATGTGGAATGATTGAGAGGTCTGGGTTGTGTCCTTTTGTCTCCACTCAGCACACAGGAGATGGCAATCCATGCTTGTTGGGATGCTGGGACCCAGGGCCAGGGCTGTCACAGCCTCTAACTGCAGTGCTGCTTCCTTCACAGGCTCTTCCTGCATTTTAAAGTCCTTTACCCATTTTATTTCTTGGGAAAGCATCTGGCTTTCAGCTCCGGGTCTCTCCAGTCTGTCATTTCACACAAATACACAAACATCCCTCCTCGGATGATGGATTGGGGCTGCACTTTGGCTTGGATCACACAGCCCAGACTGGCAGAGGGGCTTTGAAGTACTGCAAATTTCCCATTCCCTTAGTGCCAGCAGAACAGCCCACGGGAGAGAAATCCATGCTGGTAAACACAGCCCTTGGCTCATTTACAGTGGTCCAGCATCATCCCATATAACACGACACACCCCACTAATGCACCCTCATCTCCCTGCGCTGCAAAAGGCTTCCAAAGCTGTGCAATGCCAGCTTCATGCATGCACAAATGGCTTCCACAGCACAAAGCCCTCTTGCACTGCTTTCCCAGCATCTCCATCCTGCACGCTGTGGGGATCTGACAGCAGTTTGCAGGGTCCAGGACACAGCAGCCTGCGGTTGGTGTCCCATAGTGAGCACTGGGTCCCAGGACCTTTTGCCTTGCATGTGAGAAAGCCCCACTTGGAAAAATATGAGCAAGCACTCCGATGATTTTATGCTGATTTACTGGCTGAAGCTCTAAATCAGCACTTGTCAGAGGCTTGAGTTACATGTCTGTGCCGGAGACTGATGGGGCCAGCTGCCAGCACGCATTACCAAGGAGCAAACCTGAGCTGAAAGCATTGTTTTAGGCCTCGGGGTGAGCTAAAAGCATTCAGGTGATTTATACAGGAGGAAACGGCTTTATGTCCTGTTCAACTGGAGCCCCGAGTGCTGCCAGCAGAGACCTGCAAAGTCTCCTGGTTTTAATCTCGCGCTCGGGAAGGACACCATCAGTTTAATGAATTTAGGCTCTGAACTCCCCATTAGGATGAGGTTTATGGGTGAAGTCCTGCCCTCAATGGAGCGAGTGGGATTTTGCCTTTGTGCATTTACCCAGCACGTTCTGCCCACTGGTTTTTCATCTCACCTCTCACCATGCTTTGGGTTCACCCTTCTATAATGCCCCCAACTGCTTCATGCTGCCCCAGTGCTGCATCACAAGGGAAGAGGCAGTCAATAAATAAGATGCCAGCAGATGGTGCTCCGTAATTTGCAGTGTCCTCACTGGGTTTTAGAAGCACAATAAGAAGAGATTTCCCCACCTAGTGCTTTCCCCAGGCCCCACTCCTGCTGCTTGTTTGCATCCTTGGGAATTTAGTTGTTCTGAAAACATAGGGAAGGGAAAACAGCGTGAAGAAATACATTGCAGCTCCACTTCAAAAGATTGTATTGCACACCAGCAGCCATTGCTGGTGTCTGGGACACCTACACATCTCTCCTTCTCCCTGCCTCCCCTAACTCCTTGTCTGCTTTCTCCCAGGTTGCCCTGAGATGCTCTGAAGGATCAGAAACTCTTTCACCGCTCAGGCTTTGGGTGAGTGTTTCACAGCCCTCAGATATTGCCAAGCAGAGCAAAGGGGATGCAGCACAGGGCATCCCATCCAGTAGAGCAGCATCCCTGGGCATCCTGTCCCTCCTGAGGGTATCATCATCCCAAGGTACCACCATCCCTACAGTACCACCATCCCCAGGTTACCATCATCCCAAGGTACCACCATCCCTACAGTACCACCATCCCCAGGGTACCATCATCCTCAGGATGCCACCATCCCTGGGATACCAGCATCCCTGGCCAGCAGCACGGCATGGGCAGCAGGTGCAGGGATGGAGGCAGGAAACTGTTTATAGAGCTTAGGAAAAGCTGAGGTTTCTGGCAGGTTCCTGAGACGCTGGGTTTGGCCCAGGGCTCCGCTGTATAAATTGTGGGATTAGAGTCAAACATGAAACCGGAGCAAGAGGCCAAAGGCAGAGCTGGCAGCTGGCTGGAAGGATTTTTTTCTCTGCACAAGCATGTCCAAGGGATGCTTTTAGAGGAGAGAAGGGTAAGAAAGAAAGAGGAGCCAGCAAAACCGGGGTGAAAACAACCCCAAAAGTAAGAGGGATGCAACAAGAAGGCAGTGGTGAAGTGAATGCAGAGGCTTCTTGGTGGGAAGCATCTACATGGAAAGGTTGCAGAGGGGATGGGAAAAGTCACCATCTCCCAGTGTCACACTGGGTGCTCCCTGACCTGGCACCAGTCCTCGCTGACACCCAGCACTGCCCTGCTCGTGGTGGTGTGATTTTATCCCCAGTTCTGCTCGAGGTGCTGTTTCTGAGCTCACAGCCATGCACTGGGCTGACCTCCCGCTCCCCGTGCTGTTTGGTTTGGATTAGCTGACTCACGGCTGTTTGGTGGGGCCAAGGCAAAAACAAATCCATCCGTGCAGGGCACAGAGGGAGATCTTGTCCACAAAGCACTGATGCGATGTGAGGTTGGCAGGAGAGCAGTGTTTTCCTGAGAGCCTTAGCTAAACCTGTGCTTTTTCATAGAAAGCTCCCTACTTGCTGTAGGTATCTCCCAGCACCAAGGGGATACACAGATTTCCAACATCAGCAATGTTATCTCCATCCTCCCAGCTTTGTTTTCCCTAAGCAGCCGCACAGACGTGCCTGGGATGGAAGTCAGACACGGTCTGAATAGACACGAGGAATTCAAGCTGGGAAAGTCAAAGCCTGTGCACAAAGCAGGAATTGGAAAGCAGAGCCACTCAGTCCCATGTTGCCTTCTTGCTGCCATGGGCATCTACTAAAGACCCCATCCTTTCACCAGATGGTCCCTCAGCCCATCAGGAGACACATGACCCTCCAAGATGGGCGTCAGCTCCAGATTTCATCTCCTCCTGGCTGTTGGAAAGGCATCCCTGTGTGCTCATCCCTTTCTCCATTTACAGGTTCTTTCTCTAACCTTCCCAGCCAGGATCTGGCTCTGTCTCCTCCATCACCAGCACTGCCCATCCATCTGCAAGGGGCTGGAAGCATTGGGGTAAGCTGGGAGGCTCAGATGTGAATGCAGCCCCAGGTTGCTCAACTTTCTTCTCTTTCCCAAGTTTCCTCTCAGTCCCAAGTTTGGTCTCAGCTCAAGGCAGAAAAAAGGGTGAAGCAGCAAGATTTGGATCAGACCCAAATGTAGGCACGGAGTTGTTCCCAGTAACATTCCTTCCTGCAAACCAGAGCGCCGGTTCAAAGCAGATGGGTTGGTAGCACTCCCAAATTCCTCGTTGTGCTGGAATTTATGCAAAATGTATAGAATTAATGAGCACAGGAGAAAGGCACTTGGACCATCCTCACGTTCCTGACCTCTGTGCCACCGCTCCACTCTGCTGTATGTCACCCAGTGCTCTCCCCAGACAATGTCCCATTGATTGGCCAAGGGGCACATGGCACTGGGAGGGCCGTGCTGACGCTCTGCAGTGTGGCTGGGCACTGCTGGGCTGTTGGGAACACATTGCACAATGCCCAGCCTGTGTCTGTTGGTGCATCACCAGTGCGGTGTCACAGGGGGCAACACAAGGGTCTTATGGTGCAGGGGCACAGACATGCCTTTCTCAGGACGATGAGAGTCATTGATTTATTCCCTTTTCACACTGGAAACAGAATGCCCTTTAAAAATAAAACTTGAGCAGTGCTGCCCCCCTCTCACCCTGCTGCAAACCCTGAGCTCACTGTGGGTGATGTGACCCATACGGAGGAGACCCCAGCCCCTTGCTCCCAGAGCATCCATCAGAACCTCTTCCCATGGGCAGTGTCCCTAGATTCCTATTTTCCAGCTAAGTTTGGGGGGAAGAAGAGCTGAATCAGGAAATTCCTGGCCCAGCTGCAGTTTGCAGTGCATGGCAGGAACCCAGGCGTTGCTGAGCAGGGTACCAGCGTGGTCATGGGATGTGTGGCAGCTCTGAGGGATGGGATCCCCGTTCCTATTCTGTCCCCAGGCCATACAGAGGCTTTGCTCATCCCAGCTGCCCTGTGCCACGCAGGGATGCTGCTTGGTTGTGTTTTACTTAACCTTTAATACCATGTTATTTCTATTTAAGCCTCATTCCAAAACAGAGCCTATAAGTGATAACAGAGCAAACAGACCTTCTGTCCCCTCTTCCTCCCCGAGGAAATATTTTTAGCTCTCGTAAACACAAACCATTTAAGCACTTGAGAGCATCCCAAGGGATGCAGCCTTCCTCTCCATCCTTTGCAGCCTACAGCACAACCCCACATCACACCCTGAGTTTCTGGGCTCAGACACCATTGCAGGCACAGCTCTGCAAAGCAGGTGCTAAACTGGGAGTTACTTTCAAAGGAAACCCAAAGGAAGAAGCTGTTCAGAGCTCAGCTGGCTTTCCCACAATGTCACATAGCTCTGAAAAAATCTTGTCCCTGTTGCAGTGCAGTAGATGCTGAGTAGGTGACTGGTGAGCACCAAAACGCATCTCTCCAACATCTGCTCCCAGCTTTGGTCACGGAATCACTGCACTTCTCACCAAGTGTTCCTAAAAATTCATGGAATATTCATCCATAGAGTGTGCTGAGCACAAGATGTCCCCAGGAATAGGGACAGCCAAGAAAAGACTGGAGGAAGCCACCAGTGCTGGGAAAGGAAACTGGGAAATGCTTTGATGAGAGTACATATGGTGCGTGCTTGGATGCAGCAGTCCTCCAAAGAAGCTGGGGACTGGGACATGGTTTGGGACAGAAAGAGACTGTGGGACCTGGGGTGGCTTTGCAAAGCTGGCTGGCTGGGGAGCTGCAGCCTGGGGAAGGGGCTCAGTGGCACTCGGATGGAGCGAGATCAGAGCTGGGCTCACATCCAAGGTTCAGGGCAGGGCACAACTGCAAATTTCCCAAGCTACCCAAGCTCCTGGGCCTGCAGCTCTGCAGCCTCCTGGGATCAGATTCCCATGATGGATTCCCAGCTGTGAAGATAGAAAGCATCCCAAAAGGGGCAAAGTACCATCTGCTGAGCAGCCTTGTTCTCAGGCTATTTGGGGTATTTTTATTTCTGAACAAAGCAGAGAGCCAGGAGGAATTTCATCCTGATTCCAAAATCCTGTTTTCCTTCTCCCTTCCCCTGCAGTGATGCAAGCCCCATCCAACAGTAGCAGCTCTTCCCACCATCCTGTCCCCAAATCCTTCTTGCTGTGAAAGCATCCCATTGCCATCACGTGCAAAAGGGCACAAACCTGTGCTCTGCTTTCTCCCTCCATTAGGCATGTCTAGAAGTGATTTTCCCAGTTCAACCCAGTATGTGACGTAAGGCATCCATAGGACATGACAGGATGGTGGTCCCTTTGGTCTGTGGATGCAGTGGGGTTTTTGGTCAGGGCCATGGGAACCATCTGAGTGCTTCCTCTGAGCGTGCCATGAGCAGCCCCAGTGCTGAACTAATGTTATCTTAGCAAATGGCTTTGTTATGGCTGTGGGATTCCTTGAGGGGCAGTTTTTAATCTCACAAAGCAGCAGTCCTGATGCAGGGGGAAGTCCTTCATTATCGGCTCTGAGGAGCTCTCAGATGGGAGATTAGGGGAAAGGCACACGAATCCCATTCGCAAAGAAGGAAAACGTGGAGTCTCTTTGCTGAGATGTAGGAATGCCTGGGAGATGCTCAGTGCGGCCCCAACCACATGAATGCCATCACATCCACAACAGCACCACCTCTCCTTTACTCTTTTTGTTTCATCCCCAACCCAGCCCAACCCAAGGTGCCCACTGCCCATATCCCTCAGTGCCACATCCCCACAGCTCTGCAACACCCCCAGGGATGGTGACCCCACCCCCTGGGCAGCTGTGCAGTGCAGCATTGCTCTCATCCACAGAAACTGAAGCTTGGAAAGAAGCAGAGGAGCAGACGAAGGACTGAATCCTGAGGATGCAAAGTGCTTTGCGTATCCCATGCAGCCAGACAGCCTCTGGTCCAGCAAAGCAATGGAATTTCTTGCAAATATGCATTTTTCAGATCTATCCCCTACAAGCCAGTCCTGATGTCTAGAACAAGGAGGACACAGCTGTGCCTGCATCTCCCACCCTACTGGCATCCATTGGCTGCATCCATCCATCTCCCTGCGCTTTATCAACATCTCCAGCCTCCGTGCCACGAGGGAAATGTCATCGGGTTTTTATCTCCTCTCTGCTCTGGGCTTATCAGTGATTTGTTTAATTCGAGTTTATGGCTTTCCTTGTTCATTTTGTCACTCGGTTTCCTCAATCCCGACGGCTGCCGAAAGGAGACAATGAAATTTCAGATAAATATATAAATAAAGGCAAATAATTATCGTTTGTTCTCTGAAACAAGCCAAGTAAGAGTCTCCGGGGAGAGGGTGGGATTCGCCTGTTTGTTTATTCAAGGGCGATATTAAGAAGGAACAATGCGAACAGGCGGAATGGTTTTAACCCTTCCAGAGCCCCCGTCGACATCTCCTCCTGAACTCCCAGCTGTGGGGAGTTGTAAAATCATCCTCCACAACTGAAGGCCTCCCCCAGGGCAGCTTTAGGAGGCAGTGCTCCGTTTTCCAGCCGTGTTGGATGCTCCGTTTCTCTTGGAGGGTTCAGAGAAACCATTTGGATCCCGATCTCTCTGACACAGCACTCTGGCTTTGCAACACAGCTCGTTCCGTGCTTTTTTTGTTGTTGTTATTATTAATTCTTTTCTTTCTTCCTAAAAGGAAACAAAGACATCTCCTCCCCCGCACATGCACGCGCACGCGACGCGCTAATTGGAGCAGACGTCGCTTTTCCAGAGACAAATAGGAACCATTCCATTGCAGGCAGCCCCCAGATTTTGGGTTGTCCCCCAGAAGGGCTGCGTCCACCCCATCTTTTCCCACGGATGGAGGGGTTTGAGTGTTTCCCTTCATTTTTGTCGGCTCTGTTCTCCTTCACGTGCAGCCCCTGCGATTCAAACCTTGCTTCGTGCTTCTTCCCCTCCTACGAAGCAAATTCCCCCTATTTTGTTTCCACCCTGCAACGCTGACGTGGATTGATGGTGTTTCTGGTGTCCCAAAGCTAGGATTTCCCCACATGCTGTGGGATTAGGGATTACCCAGAGCCAGCTCCCACCCCCAGAGCACCACTCATTTCCCAAATCCCTTTGCCCTTTAGCTTGGCCTTAAACCACAAAGAAAAACCCAACGCCACCACTGGGGCCAAGTGACCAGCTCTGCTTTCCCATGTAACACATGAAATACGGAGCCAGCGAGGGCAGTGGGAACTTGGGGTGATGGGTTGGTGATTTCTGCTGGGCATGGGGGTGATGGTACGTGCAGTTTGGCCCTGAAAAAACCCAAAACTGGTGATGTAGCTCACAGAGAAAAAGGGAACAACCCAAAGGAGCACATTCCCCACAGTTTCATACAACCAAAAATTAAAAGAAAGAAAGAGTTCACTCTGAACAACATAACAGGGTTTTCCTTTCTCCCCATCACCTCTCAGGGCTGTGCATTACCTGTGCCCTGAGCACTCGTGGAGCATCTCCACTGCTCCATGATGCTCCAGGGATGCAGAGAAGCCAGCATCCAGGTCCAGGTGGAATAACAGCTGCTCTGTGTTTGCAGAGCCAGGCAGTAGGGGCTGCCAAGCACGTCTCCCTCTCGAGGTTTCCCTTGTTTTCATTCCTTTGCCTTGTTTCCTTTTCTCTGCCTTTGGGATAAAGCAGCACCGTCCAGGTTCTCCTTGTCTTTCAGTGCCTGTTTCCCTCTGTGGTTGTTTTTCCTCACCTCAAAAGTAAGTGCTGAAGGCAGGGGTTAATGGGCACCTTGGGACTGCCCTGATCAAGGCAGTGCCTCACCATGGTGATACCCCAAATCCCATCACCTCCTCCTAAATCCGGAGGGGGCCCACAGGTGGATGAAGCCTTTGGGCACCCTACTTTCATAGAACCATGGAGTCATAGAATGGTTTGTGTTGGAAGGGACCTTTCCAGGCCATCCGCTCCATCTCTTCTGCACTGAACAGGGACACCCACAGCTCCATGAGGTGCTCAGAGCCCTGACCCTGGGTGTCTGCAGGAAGTTTCACTCAGAGCATGGGAATGCTGGCTTTTCCCAAACTCCCTGGGTGTGCAAGATGCCCACATAGATCACCATACCTCACTGCACTTTCCCCTCCATCCCCACTCCAGATGTCCTGAGCGCATCCACACAGCACATGGGGCTGCTTCTGGACAGCACGTGTCATTGGGAGCATGGAGAGCCACGAGGATGCGGTCCCTGCAGTGACCAGGATCTTGCCAACACGTGTTTCTGCTATTTGGAGCCTGCACACTGCACTTGGAATGCAGTGCAAACAATATGGCATTGCATAAAAGGCCAAAGCAGTGCAGGGACACTGAGAAGTGTCCCCAAGTGCTTGGTGGCCATGGGCAGTGTGCTTTGCTTTCTCACAGCAATATCTATGAGTGCAGAGCACACAGCAGCTGGCACTGTCAGCTGCCCTCACGCCTGGATCGCATGCAGTGCTGTCACTTGCAGGACTCCTAAACATCTGCCTTTCAGAGCTTGTATTTCCAGAGCTGCCAATCCAACACCTTTCCCCAGCGCTAAATTCATTTACAAGGGGGAAAATAAAACACTTCAAAAAATAAATAATCAAGCCACATTAAATAACCCTTTGGGAGCTCTTCTGCCCCCCCGCAGGATGAACTCAATATTAATTACACCAAAGCCAACAGCACGGTCCCCAGGAGAGGCTGGGGGCTCATACCACTGCCCCATGCTGCCATTTCCAGGTGCTTTTCCTAGCTAAGGGCTGCAGTCATTAGCAGCCATCTGATGGGCTCAGCACACGCCCTCACCTCCACGCACAATGCTGACATGGGCAGCCAATGCCAACCTTCCTCTGGAGGTTTATGCATGCATAGAAATCTCCATTTGGAGCCTTGCAAAGAGCTCTGTCTCAGTACGTTCCCAACCTGCTGCCCTTCAGCAAGGAGGTGATTCTCTTGGCCCTGTGTGCATGAGCTCTGCTGCCAGATTCGAGTTGGCCGGATGGATTTTGGCACTGGTTGAGCTGTATAATTAGAAAAAATACAGGGGGGGGGGGGAAAAAAAAAACTCACATGGATTCTTGTGGGAACGTGTCAGTTTACTGGCTGGGGAAGATGATGGGGGGAAGTTTAGTCTGCTGCAAGTGACCGGCAGCCTATGGTGGCAAAGGGGGAATCAATTATCCTGGCATAGAAATGCATTTTTGTGCCCCATCGCTGCTCCACATCAGTATTTTCACGTGAGCATTGCTGCTGGCTGGGCCACGTGTTCCCCATTAGCACTGTTTGTTCCCAGTGTGTCTGGCAGTGCTTTTGTCTCCAGGCAGAAAGAAAGAGCAACAGTAAGGGCAATGGTAACAGAAAGGGAGCATCCCCTCCTCCAAAGGGATCCTCAGTTGCAGCTTTGGGGTGCAACACTCAATCTGGCACCATGGGACCCTCCTGCCCAGCAAGACCCCTGTGTGTGACATCGTGTAAAGAGCATGACTTGCAATAGGTGCTGCCATTAGAGGCCAAAGCTCTGAATGACTCATTGTGAATACCAGCTGTGCCATAAGGGTGAATTCCATTTTCATGCTTTTTGCTCGTCCTGTTTGTAAGGAAAGGTACGGTGGGTGAGAGCAGAATCCTGCCCAACCCAGCACCTTTCTCCAAAAGCTGATGTCTGGAGAAGTACGCAGGAACAAAAAGTGGGTGAGAGGCTAAAATAATGGAGGAAACCAAATGCAACTGTCCCAGCAGTTTGGAGCAAGCAACGTGCCCTGTATCTGCCACTCCCATACTTCCACATTGCTGCAGCTTTGCTCCTCCCTCCCCAGGAGCTCACCTGTGTCCCCACCCCGCTCCAGGTGCCTGCCCTTATCCCTGAGCCGTTAAGTAATTGCAGCCTTCCCAGCAATGCAGAGCCCTGAGCAAACAGACCACAACTTGGCTAAACACAGACCTTTCCTTTGAACCGAGGTTCTGGCATCGGCACTTGGCTTCTTCCTTCCTTTCCAGGTAAATGTTTCCTTTGTGCACGTTTTTATCTCTCGGGGTGATTTGTTCAGGTTACATATGGCTATCACTGAGCCCCGGAAGTGCAAACCCTCTGTTAATAAAGCTGTGTGCAGTTGGAGCTGCTGCAGTGTGGGATTTCTTGGGGCTGAAACTGAGCTTCTCATGGGGCGAGGTGGAGGCAGAGCTGTCTGTCACCGGGCTGCAGAGGGGAAGGTGTTCAGTCAGGGCTGTTGTTGTGCTTTTCTTTGGTATTGGAAATGTGCTCTGCCTTACGCGGGAAAAAAAAAAAAAAAAAAAAGGAGGAAAAAACCCTAAAAAACTCATAAAAATTGCCAAAGTGTTACAGCATAGCTGCACAGAAAGTTGCAATTGTTCAGGGGGAAATAAAAGCTGAGGCAGTGACATCAGGCATCCCCCAGCAGACGTGGCCCATTAGCAGGCAGTGCCTTATCTCACTGCTGGCCCTGAGCGGAGCAAGAGAAGGGCTGGGAGCTGCTGAGTGTTTTGTAAGCACCTAGCAACCCCCCAGCCTTCCCTGGACCCTCTGGAGGTGGTGGGAAAGAGGCTCCTGCTTTGCTCCATGGATGGAATGAATGACGCCAGAGGAGCACGTTGGGAATGGGTACTCCCAGCTCACGGTATGCATGGACACAGTTGTTCCAGGATGTGAGAGCACTGTTCCAGTTTGCATTCATCCATTTAACTCTATATTCTATATTGCTGTGATTCTTACTGAAGAATATCCTGATTCCAGGCTAAAGCAAACCAGCCTCGTGGCACAGCCTCACTGCGATGGCTCCCAGGTGCAGGGGAGCCCTGCCGTTGCATGGACTCATCCAACATGATGGTTTTTTGCCAACTACAAATTCTACAGCAGAAGCAAGACAAATTGCCATAATATTCAGAATAATATGTTTGGACCTTCCAATTTTTTTCCCTTCAGTTAATGAGCTGGGACTGCAATAAGCCAGGATATAATCTGCCAACACCACCCAAGCAACACGGGCACAAACACAGCCCCCCTGGAGCGAGGTGGATCTTTAAATACGGTTTTATTTCAGGTTTGCTATTGATGCACAAACAGCAGAGATCGATGTTTAGTATACATGGTATACACAAAGCAGCCAGTACAATAGGCATCTCCATCCTTTTGCTGCACACTTGGCAAAAGAACTGCACTCAAGAAGTCCCTCCCACCACATCCTTCCCCCCATCGGACAAGGATGACAGTTTCTCGGTGGCTTGGAAACCATCTATTTGATGGCAAGACGCAAAGGGCAGCTCCTTGGAGCTCTGTCCCCAAACGAAAGCACTGCAGGCTCGGCTACGCAGGAAAACTGTCCAGAAAATGGATGATGCGTTCATGGGAATGTAGACCTGGAAGGGATTTCCTAGAACATTAAATCCCGTCCCCGCTGTGCAAAGCAACCACAACATCTGCTCCTGGCTCTATCAAGCATCGTGGAGACCAGAAATATTATTGTGCTCAAAAAGGCATTACACAAATCTAGGAGGGTGGGTCTGCAAACAGTATCACGAGAAATGTGCTAAGCTGGTGGGAAAGGTCTCCACAAGAACGTTTGTGCTCTTCCTTGGGACCCTTCTGACTACGTGCACAGCTGACCACTGCTGGAAGCTTGGTGGAGCATGAAGAGCTTCCACGTGTGCTGAGCAGACTCCAAGCATCTCACTGCTGAGACAGCAGCCTACCCAAAAGCTGGGGTCGACCGTTCTGCTCTTCCCAATATCTTGCTCAAGAGGTTCACAGCAATCTCCCTCCAAGAGACCTTCATCAGTGGAAAAGCAAAACGTGAAATGATCCTTGATGGTTTGATCTGAGCAGGAGGCTTATGGGGGAAGGCGTGCGGCAGGGTTGTGGTGAGGTAAGACAGCCTCCAGACACTGCAGAGGTATGGAATGAGCCCTAGCACAAAACCCAGGAGGATGCAGCTGGTTGTGGATGCTCTGCAGGAGCAGGAGGATCAGAACAGCCCCAAAGCCACGTTCCAGCTCAGAACATAGCTGTGGGTTAATGCAGAGCGAAATAACCCTGAAGCTTGGAGTGGGGCAGGCAGCAGAGTGCCTGGGCATGGTATACTGGCCCTGTGAGCACCATTTCCAGAGCAGAGTCAAGCACCAGCAACAGGCAGGGATGCTCCCAGGCACCACGATGCTACAGTACAGTTAGTTATTTCTGCAATTGCTGCTCACATTGCACCTCCATTGTGATCCCTTTCAGCCCCAAAGAGCTTTACACCCTTCCCTGCACCAGGGTGTAAATGAGTGTCTGGCTGTGCTCTGGGCACCCATTTAGCCAAGAGCCAGTCTCAGCCTCCCCAAAGCACCATAGAAAAACCTCAACCCAGGAGGGGCTCTGCTGGAAGCAATGCTATTCCCTCCATGCCAGGTTTGCATCCAGCACAGGGAGCATGTTAAACAACACAGAGTTAAGCACCATAAAGTATACACTGGTCAGATCATAAACATGAGGAGAAAATGAGAATCAAGCCACCACCTCCCAGCCTGGCACTTGGGATCCCCGTTGGCATGCGCAGCTGTGAAGTCACTGCTTGCAAGCCCTGAAGGTAACAGTCCCTACAAAACCCAGCACCCTGCTGGGCAGTACAACTTGCCATCATCGTGTAGGTAAATCCACTTGGTCCCACGCAGAAAATCAGGGAAGGGGAGGTAGGCTTGGCCCTGGGAAGATAGGGCAGGTGTTGGCTGTGCCATGCGGGGGTGTCCCCTCTGTGTGTCCTCGGGGCCATCCTGGCAATGATTTCCGTCTGTCTGTCCTCCAGCTCCCAGCTGTGGGTCCCTGTGTGTGAGGCAGCTTCGAGGTAGGTTGGTTCTGCTCACCTCCGAGCAACCTGCTCGGTGAAACCCTCTCATCACCTGGTTGCGCGCCCCTCCCCGCGCCCAGGTCCCTTTATTTTTTGTTTGTTTTCCCTTTTTTACCCTCATTTGATATGTGCTATGGACATCTCCCCTCCTCCCAACCCATGGCCACTGCCCAAGAAACACCATGTTCATCCTCACTGGCACAGCTCAGCATGGCCTCAAGGTGCAGAAATCCAGCTCCTGCGGCTTCCTCCGAAAACTGCAACTCTCCCGGGGCAGCAGTCTCCCACCGGAGGCCACGCACTTCAGCATCCTCCTCTTAAAGCCTCTCCCACAGCTCTTGGAGCAAGGAGCCCATGGTCCTGCTTCCCACGCTGGGCAGGGCTCCCCGCACGACCGCACCTCAACCGGCCTTTGGGCAGCCTCACATTCGGAGGCTGGGTGGCCATAGGAGTCATGGCAAGCCACCGCTCGCTTCTGCAGCCCACTGCCACAGGTGACAGAGCACGCCTCCCAGCCCCCCGCCGCCCACTTGTAGGAGGGACGCTTGTAGGTCGGCCTGCCCCCATCCAAGCGGTTGGACAAGCTGAGCACGCTGTTGTTGAGATCCGGAGGAGCTTTGCCCTCCTTCCTGTAGGAGGTTTTGTCATCCTTGCTCTCCTTGGGGAGGTAGAAGGAGTAGCGCACCCGGGGAGGGGTCATCTTCCCCACGGAGAGCACCTCCAAAGTCAAGGGCTCCTGGATGGGTTTGAAGGCTTGCAGGCTCTCAACAGCGGTGCCGGTGCCGCTGTAGCGCAGCACGCTGCCCTTCACCATCAGGTCCCGCTCCACGGCCGAGACGATGAAGTGCCCATTCAGCAGGTACTTGCCCTGCCCGTTCTTCAGTGCCAGGTAGTTGTCGTCGCTGATCAGCCCCTTGTAGCCCCGCTGGCGGATGTCGATGTTGGAAGCTCCGGCAGGGATCACCACCACAAAGTTGTAGCCATGCCTGGAAGGAGGAAGCAGGCAGGACGAGCCATTAGGCACGGAGCTGCAGGTGTCCCCATCTCCCACCCGCTGTGATGGCAGCAGTTCCAACCCTAAGCTTATCTCTTCCATCCCACAGAGATTTATTTCTGCACACTGAGTTTCATCTAGGCTGTTCTCACCCAGACATGAGAAGCTCAGCAGTGCGGCTGTGCCAGAGCTGGCTCCACCACCAGAAGCCATTTGCTTGTTAACATGCACTACTACTTCAGAGCAGGCACTTTGGAGGATCTGATCATCACCATCCCCACCACCTCCCTGTGTCCACCCCATGGGAGAGAAGAACTCGCATGTGGTCCCCCAGCACTTACATGGGTTTGGTGAATAAGCCCGAGACCTTCTTGCAGCTCTTATTGTCTCCTCCACAAACACTGCACTTATCAAATTTCTTCTTGGAGCCCAGCTTCCCATCACAGCCCGCTTTGATGCATTTGCCCTGGACGCAGACCGAGGTGGAGTCTGGGGAGCACGGGGTGCCATCCACAACCTGCAGGAGAGCGAGCAAGAAGCAGCTGTACCTGCATCACCCCGCAGTCGTCTCGCTGCAGCCACTCAGCATCAGCCCAGCAGGACCTCAGGAGGTGCTGGCATGCACTGTGTTACATTTTGCTCACTCTCTGCTTTGTAATTGGGCATTCTGGTTTTTCTGAGAAGAGCCATGCAGTACTGCTTCCTGCTTCTGCTACATCACTGCCTTATAATAATGCAAAGGGGCTCCAGTCCAGGGAACCACTTCCTCAGTGCAATAATTATCGTCCTCTGCTCCAGCCTCTCAGCAGGAACATAGGCATACCCTACAGGCAGTTCTGTGAACCCAGAGGAAGACCCTCCATGAACCCAATCCACCCCTGGAGAAAAGAAGTGGATGCATGCGTGCTGATTCAACCCAGCATGATGGATTCCCATCTCTTCTAACCCACAAAAATCCATCTGTCCACCCAGCACAGACAATTGCTTCATGCACTGCAGTCCTCCTGCAGCCCCCCCAGCCCTCACCAACCTTGGGTGCCAGCACATAGAAGTACCCCGTGCCATTCGCCCGGCAGATGAGCTTGCATTTGTCCCGGGGTGAGACACCAGAGTATTTGGGAACCCAGGAGACGGAGGCAGTGAGGCGGTTGGTGCTGTGGCCGTAGCCATTGAATGCCTCACACTGCTCTTCTCGGAAGCTCTTTCCTGGCACTGAAAGGAACACGGTGTGCATCAGATGGGGCACAGACCACTGCCCTAGGGTAGGTGTTACTGCTTGTTAAGGGCGGCCGTGCAAAGCCTGCAGCCCCAGCGCAGCAACTCTGAAGTGTTTTGCTTGTCGCACAATGCAGTGACACAGGGATGCCAGGGAACTGCAAATGGCAAGGTCACCTCTGACATTTGCAGGGGGCACATTTAGGGGCATGTTTCCACCGTGTTTCCAAGCGCTTTGAAACAATCAAAGAACTTGACATTTGGAGATTGGCTCTCCTCCACCCCACCCAAATTGCTGGGGCAAGTCTGGGGTTTTGGTGTGCTGGAGGCTCAGCTCTGCCGGAATTCAGCTGGTCTGGACACGCAAGCAGTGTCTCTGCAGTGGGTTGAGCAGAGGATTCACAGCTGCAATCAGCTCATCCCACTCAGCTCACAGGCACCGACGCATGCAAGAAGCTGGGCTTCCCTTTGGCTCAGTGCCTTTTGATGACAGGTCATGAATTTTAGCAAGTTTTGCCCTTACCTGCAGCTGAGCAGGGCTCCAGGTTGCAGGAACGGTACTTGACGCGGACGCCCTCGCAGTAGGAGCCCCCGTTGGCAGGCACAGGGTTGGTGCACTCACGCTTGGCCAGCTGCACCCCACCACCGCAGGTCCGTGAGCACGTCCCATAGGGCGCCCACTTGGCCCAGCCGCCATCCACCTGCAGGGACATGGCACAGCATCATCTGCTGTCCCCTTCCCTCGTGGCTTCCATCTCTGTCCCTCTCTGGACTCAAAGCTATCCCTTTGCTAGCTGCATTTGCAAGCAAAACCTGTGGCTTTGCCTATCCCAGATCTTCTATGGGATGGGCAGAGCAGCACAACAGCATCCAGCCTGCTTGCATTGTCTATCCCTGCTCTCTCTCCTCACCTTTCTCCATTATTATCCCTTTTGTAGGATCCTGCTGGGGACTCTCAGCCAACACCCGTGCAGAAGTACCAAGAGATCGTCCACGGGACATTTTCAGACTCGCAGGTACTCACCTTGTACTTGCTGACGTTGTGCCTCTCCACGCAGGCACCTTTCAGGCAGAAGCGTCCCTCCCCGCAGCCAGTGCCATCAGCCCAGGGGAAGTGCCGTGTCTGGCACACGATCTGCCCGCGTGCTTTGCCGGTGCACCAGAGCTTGGCACAGTACTGCATGTAGGGGCAGGGCTTGGAGCCCACACCAAAGGCCAGCTCACACTGCTGGTTCAGGCTGTAGCTCGTCCCCGGCAGGTCCTCGGGCAGCGGGATGGGGTTGGAGGGCTGGTCCAGCAAGCAGTCTCCTGAGGGAGCAGGGAGGGGAACATTGGTCATCATGGGACTGGGAGCTACCTCGCACTCAGCCCACTGAAACACCACTCAGCTCTCTGTTTCCTTCTCGATTTGTTGGGAAAAATTTGCTGTCTACCCCACCAGCCTGGGTGCTGTCCCCATCACCGTCGCAGGGATAAGGACAGCATGGGGACAAGGACAGGAGGACAAGAAGAGCTCACCGTGGCCGCTGTCAAGGAAGTCAGTGATGATGGCAGCGCTGCAGGCTGACCAGGGGTTGGCACGGTCGATCTGGATGAGGGTGGGAGACATCATGTGGTTGGTCTTCAGCCGGCCAAAGACCTCCTCACAGGCTTTCACGTTGTCATGGGGCATGTTGAAGACGTGGCCTGGGAGATGGAAAGGGGGACAACGTGAATAACCCCCCTTGGCATTGCTCTGTGTAGAAGGGGAAACTGAGGCACAGAGCACGGTATTCCTTGTAACAACTGCAAAGGCTGTGGGCAGCTCCAGAGGAGGAGGAGCTGCCTGGGGAAACACAGAGCTTGCAAAAGGCTGGTTTGGGCTGAACATGGATGCTGGGAGCTGCAAGACAGGCACATGTGAGCCACCCTGACAGCAGCACCCCAAACATTTCCAACATGCTTTCCTATCTGTGTCATGGACGGCCATCATTTGTGAGGAAGGTCAAAGGAAATCTCAAAGAAAAGGAGATCAGAGCTCATCCTTCACCCTGCAGAACCATGCAAGTGTCTCCAGACGTAGGTGTGCCCTCAGCATCCCTCTCTGCTATTTCAGGATTCTCAAATTCTGGAAACCCAGCAATCACAACAGTGATGCCTTTCACTTTCTCAGCCCTTTCACCTCCCCCAGCTGAGGTGGAGTTTCCCCAGTCCGGATGCCTGTCATTGTCTGGCCTTCCGGAGGCTGAACTGGGGCTATTTTGAACTTTGCTTCTGCTTCTGATTACTGAGCAGGGCTGGAGGATGAGGCTTGGTGACACTGAGGACATGAGGCAGGGCAGAACATCCATTGCAAGCACAGCACTCAGACCAAAAATGTGATTTCTCTAAAAATGCAGGGCTTGTGATACACTGCATCCCCCCAGTGTTCTGGGACCCAGAGGACCCCATCCCATGCAGAGCCCCCAGGCATGCCTTACCCAGCTCGTGAGCGGTGGTGAAAGCTGAGGGCAGCCCATCGTCCTCAATGACGGAGCAGCTGCGCTTGGGGTCACACATGGTGCCCACGTCGGCCATGCCCAGCGTGTCACAGGTGGTGGCACCGCACAGGTCCTGTGGACACAGAGGTAAGGGGTTAACCCTGTGGTTGGTACTTGGCCCTATTCCCACCGCAGCCCCTTTACCCCCAGAGGACCCGGCCCCAGATCTGCTGGGCAGGTGTCAATTGCAGAGAATGGGGACCACGCAGCCCCAGGGTGCGGAGGAAACACAGAATCACAGAATCATTCACCATGCCCACTGACCATGTCCCTCAGTGCCACGTCTCCGTGGTTCTGGAACACCTCCAGGGACGGTGACTCAGTGGCATTTTTGCATGTGACCCTTTTGTTACACACAGCATCCTCCTGTGCCTTCAGTGTCAGCGTTTCCTCCAGGCAGGGTGGAGCCCATTTCAGAGCAGAGGAGCCAGCTTGGCTCCGTCCTTCTGTGAGCTCAAGGTCTGGACCCAGGCAGGTCAGTGGAAAGACCTGGCCTTGGCTGACAGCTGACCCATCTCTCCATTTCCTAGTGATAAGAAGCTCCCAGAGCAGACCCAGCATGCTAAGGGAAATGCTCCTATGTCCTCAGTGACAACTGATGTCTCTCCAGGAGCAAGCAAGCCCAGCTGATGCAAGGAGCCAGCCCAGACCCCAGCACCACAGGAAGATGCCATCTCCAGCACCCACAGGTGCTACTGCAAACCAAAAGCAGCTGGTTGAGGACATGCCACAGCCCAGCAGTTAACCTCAGATGCTCCCATCACTCCACTCCTCTCCAAGAGACATTGTGCCAACCACAAAGGCAGCACTGCCCATCCTGGGCTCAGCCAAACCCTGCTCTCATCCACTGCTGTGTTCTCCTGGATGGGCAGTGCTGTGATTTCTTCTCAATCTGCAATCACTGCCTTTGGCCAGCACATCCCAAAGGAGCACAGCAGGGTGGATGGATCCCTGCAGCTTCACTCCTGGGGTATTTCATCCCACGGAGCTGCAATGGCAGCTGTGCACAGGGCAGGGAGAAGCGCTGCAGCTTTCCACATGAAAAGAAAACGTAAGGGACTCTCCCGGTGCTCCCATGCTATAAATAAGAGTGATTCATGCTCAGCTCCCAGCCAGCCAACGTTCCTGTGTTGCTAGAAACCTCACAGGAGCAGCTCTGCCAACATTTCCAGCAAGGTTTCCAGGCTGAAGGCATTCCCATGCAGGCAGGTTCAGCTATCGGTAATGGCCCCAAGAACGCCGGAGAGCCCCGGCCAGAGCTGAGATGGGTTTAGCAGCAGCTGTAGGGCTGCAAAAAGCAGACAGGACCGCTCTCGTGGGAGAGGAACAGCCGAGGCATGGGGTGTGGGGCTGGCAAGGTGCTGTGCTGTGAGGTGGTGAGGAGGCTCCAACAGCTGAGCCCAGAATCCATCCTGGCTGCTGTGGCTGGTGGAAAACCCTGTCTTATAAACAGCTTCAACTCTGCTTCACAACAGCTTTCCACATCCACTGAGACCCCATTGAATCCCAGGTCCTGTCTCATGCACAGTATCCCCATCCCACAGTGGGAACCAGCGCATCCCAGCCAGCATGAGGTCCAGAGCTACACCTGGCCATGAGAAGGATGCAACAGTGCCAGCGCTGTGGGTTTGGAGGTGATGTGGGGTGCATGGGGTGCCCCGGGGAGGTGAGGAGGATCAGCCACTCCCTATTCATTGCTCTTTTAGGAGTTCCTGTTTCCTGGCCGGCGCAGAGAGCTGTTGGCTCCCAGCCCAGCACCTGTGCTGACACACTGACCCACTTCTCATTCTCAGCCTCGCCTGCTGGCTGTGGGTCTGCAAGAAGGAGCAGCTCTTCATGGGGCTTTCCATCACCCCCCTGCCTGGGCTCACAACCCAACCACAGCCCCAGGGGAAGCAGCTCTGGGCTCTAATGAAGGGGTCCTAAAACCCCTCAAATGTATCTCCAAAGCTGAGGGAGGGGAATGGGAGCAGCAGCAGGGGAATGGGAGGAGGGCTGGGAAGGAATTCCTGGGCAAACACCAGGATGGGAAGGGGGCTACCCAAGCACCAACACCTGACACGTCCTCTGTGTGCAGATGGCCAGAAATAAAACCAGAAGCCCTAGCTTCATCCCTGGACAGCTTCCAAAGGCTGTTCTTCTTGCAAGCTTCTTGAGATGGTCTGCAGGTCAGCTGAGGGGGATCCCTGTGGCTTTTACCTTCATTCCCATGCTCAGAGGCCAAGACCATCACACAAGCGCTCTCCCAACTGTCGATGCTCCCCAGTGCATGTGTCCAAAGCAATCCCAAAAATGTGAGCTCCCCAAAGTGCTGAAACTGTTGGGTTTCTAAACTCCCCCATGATGCCAAGCTACTGCGAGACATCCTTTGGTGCAATATCCCTTCAGATGATGGCAGGCTCAGCAAGCTTTTGCTGTTACAGCTGGTGGACATCAAGGTTGAGGATGATGAAAATCGCGGTCGAGCGTTTCTCTGTGATTTGCAACACCATTTCCAAGAGGGAGGAGGGCATCAGTAGGATGAGTGCTCTGCAGTCCTTCCAGCATGCACCAGCTCAAGTAGGAAGGCAAAAATCCCACGGCACATCCACACCACCCAGCCGGGCAGCACTGAGCTCCCCAAAGGCGAATCCGAGGTCTGGCGCAGCAGCGCAGGCAGTACAGTCCCATCCATCAGCAACGTGTTGACACAACTGGAAACTGCCGATCAACCGAGCTCGAAGTGAAACTTAAGTCGGGGTCTTATGTAACAGCTTTTTGGCAGGGAGATAAGCTCTGGGGTGTCAGGGGACCACAGATGGATGCATTCAAGGAAGGCAGATGTCTCCTTGATCGTGTGCCTTTGCATGGAGCTTGCCTTGGGATTTCAGAAATGGATGGCTTAGCAATGTGTAAAAAATGCAGCCCGGCCATGCTGCATGCTGCAGGATGGAGAGGCTGTCAGATCCCTGGGACCAGCTCTGTCCCACGTGCAGCTCCGCTGACCTCACCAGGCTTCCACCAGCAATGGGGCTGCCTCCTCCCCTTCACAGCTGCCTGGTGCAGGCAGGAGCAGCTCCAGCAGATTTACACCCAGCCAGGGGATGCAGCCCCTGCTGGGGACGGGGTCTCACGTCCCACACAGCATCACTGCTGCTAACACGTGCTGAGTGAGCTGGAAGATACGCCCTTCCCACCCACGTGTGCTTGACTTGGAAAGAAGTTTTGGGAATGGCCTCAGAATTGCTGAGCGGAGTTCCTGACCTGTCCCTAATCCAAAGACATCTGGGCAGGGACAGGGGAAAGAAAAAATGCAAATTGCTGCTGCTGGCCAAACCCACTGTGCTTGGGGTAAAATGTGACTGTGTCCCCTTGAAAGGGTTGCATCCTCTTTCCCTCCCTACAGCAACTGGAGGCCAGTACTGCTGGTTATCTATCATGGTGACATTTCTATCAAGAAACAAGGGCAGCACAGCAAAGCCTCCTTGCAGCCCAGCAGGGGTGCAGCAGGCTCTGTTCCCTGGGCTGAGTGCTGGCTGTCCTTCCAGCCCTGAATTCAGTCCACATGGAGCAGCCAGGGCAAAGAGGAGAGCTCCAGGTTCTCAGGAAGACCTCGTGCATGACTCAGAGGAAGGGGGGAGAGGCTTTTTCTTGGCAGGTGGCACTGCTGTGCTCAGGCCCTGCATTTTGGGTGGCAGAGTTGGCTGCCAACGGGGGGGCTGAGTAGCAGTTTCTTGGTTGCATGGACAACCTGCCTCTGTGCACCTCCTGGCCTCACTCCCCCATCAGATTTCTGCAGTGCTGGCTCCCTCCCAACCATCCAACCCAGACAACAAACTCCTTGGGAGAGGGGTCCGGGGTGGAGGGGACACAGGAGGGGTGGCAGGGTGCAGGACACCTGGAGGGGAGGAGGGCAGCCCTGCCGGGTCGTCCACCCCTCCCCAAGGACCCGCACCCACCTGCTTGGTGAAGAGGATGGCGGTGTCCCAGTACTCGGGGTGCTTGTCGCTGACTTTGTTCCACTTCTTCTGCCAGGCACAGAAGTTGCGGAGGGTGAGGGCGGCGTTGCTGGTGACTTTGGGCCCTTTGTCATCCTGCCCGATGAGGAGGAACTTGACGACGGAGATCTGGATGGGGTTGCGGATGCTGGGGTGCTTGTAGAGGCGGGCGGCCGTGGCCATGAGGGTGAGCAGGTAGTGCTGCAAGTCATCCCCGTGGAACTTCACCATGGACTCATCGGCCACCACCAAGGTCTCCACGTACCGGGGCACGGAGGCAAAGCGTTTGGTTCTCCCTCCTGCCTTCCCCCCGGCCGCTCTCCCCCGGTATTTCTCCAGAGCCTGCAGCACCCCTGGGGTGAGCCCGGAGCCCACCGCGCAGCGCGACGCGGAGGTACCCAGCGGGTGGGCGACGTTGCGGCGCTGCAGGCGGTGAGCCCCGCCGTGCTCCGCTCCCGGCAGCGGGCTGATGGTGTACTCGGCTCCCCGGTAGCCGAAAGCCCCCCGGAGCCCCCCGCAGAGGCTGAGAGCGGCGAAGGACTCTCGGTCGGCGTTGACATCCCCCGAGTAGAAACAGTGGCGGAGGTGATGGGGACGGGAGGCACCGGGCGCGGAGCCCAGGTAGTGCGCGGCGAAGGCGGGGGCGATGAATCCGGCGTCTGGGGAGAGGTGCAGGTAGAAATCCTCCCCGAAAGCCGACAGCTGGAACACCACGGCCTCGGCGGGGCCGCGCCTGAAGTAGGGCCGCCCGTTGATGTCGGGGTCGAGGCGGAGCGGGGTGACCACCGCTGTGTCCCCCGGGGGTGCGCTCAGCGCGCGGGCGCCCAGCAGCAGCGGCAGCAGCAGCGGCAGCATCGTCCCGGCTCACATGGGGGGAGAAAGCAGGAGCCAGTCCCTGCTGCTGCTGCTGCTGCTGCTGCTGCTGCTGCTGCTTCCTCCGTCCCTCCTTCTTTTTGCTAAAACTCGGCTGGAGGGAGCGGAGCGGCCGCTCGAGCCGCCTGCCCCGCCGCTACCTGCCTTCTGGGGCGCATCGCCTTTATATACAGCGGGGCCGGGGGGAGCGGGGCGCGGCTTGGCCCCGCAGCAGCCACTCCGGTGCGGGGGGCCGGGAGCGGAGCGGGGCCGGGAGAGGAGCGGGGCCGGGAGCGGAGCGCTCCGCCCGGGAATCGCTGCCGCCTTCCCCCGGCGCCTGCGGGAGGGGACGGAAGAAGCCGGACTTTGCGCCCCGGCTCCGTGCTGCGGAACTTGGGGGGGAGTTCCTTACCTACCCGCGGGGATGCTGCCGGCTCGGCGCGGAGCTGAAGGAGGCTGCTGCACCGCGGGGAGCTGAGAGGGGGCCGGGCTGGGAGCTGGAAAGGATTTGGGGTGGGTCTGTTCAGCAGGATGCGCTGGTCGGGGTCTGTGGGATCGGCTCTTGTTCTCCTTCAGGAGTTCAGTCCGGAGATCGGTGGGCTACCGCTGTGAAACACCACATCTTGTGTTACGCACCAGGGTACCCCCGTGCTCCTCTCCCTCCAGGACCAGCACATCCCGCACTGCCCTGCCCCAGCTCCATCACAGGGCTTTAACCAGGTGGTGCTTCCAACTGCTCGGCAGGAGCGCAGCCTCCCTGCATCCCCAAGGCCACCACAGGGTGCACTCAGGGACTGTTAGCATCCAAAGCATCTGCTGAGAGCCCAGGGCACATTGTAAGGAGTGTAAAGGAAGAGAGGGGTTTCCTCATAGCCACCAGACACACTGTGATCATCAGAGCAGGGCTTGGGGCTGCAAGGAGGCTGAGGCTGCTGATGCTATCAGGAGAAAGAAGCATCCCATCGTGGGTGGAATCTGGTGGAGGAAGACAGCTAAAGGGAGAATGATGAAGGGACCTCAGTATTTGTCTGTGGCCAAGGACCAAATTTACTGCCGGTGCTGAGCACACAGACACTGGGACAGGCTGCATGGGAAGGTGCCCAGGTGGGTCTCTATCTGCTGCTCTGTTTCCATGCAGGCTGATTCTGTGCCCAGAGGGAAGCATGGACTTTTCCACTCCCAGGCACCCGAGGCGTGCACATCCTCACAGCCTTTCCAGCAGTCTGGGTTTGTTTAATGGCAAATTAAGGCCCTGTTGCAGACACACCGGTTTTGATGTGATTTCAAGCCTCAGCAAAGGCTGCAAGCACAGCTTGAAAATGCGTGTGTATATGAAATACAACCCAAGGCATAGACACAGAGCTGGCAGCCTGGCTCATTTTGGTGCCAGCACTTTCCTGTGCAATGCTTTCTCACCAGGCTGTGCTCAGTTGTCCCTTATCCCTGCAGCTGAAGTGGGGACCCGGATTGCACAGGGCTCAGTGAATCAGGGATTTTGTCTGCTGGTCAAAATGCAACATGCCCCAGGATGTTGGTAGATAACACTGGCAGAACAGTGAGTAGGGGTGAAGGAGAAAAGTGCTGACATGGGCATGGGCATCCTGCAACACCGCACTGTTCAAAGGGGTGAGTTTATCCCTGGAGACCAGGGAGAAGGGCAGAAGGCACAGCATAGAGTTGTCACGGGGCAGGAGCTCAGGGGGTCTCAGTCCACAGGGCTGGCAGTGAGGAGCAGATGGAAAAAAGAGCAAAAGGATCCCCATGAGAACACCCTGGTTCCAGGTGCCACAGCCCAGGGTTACTCATCATTGCGTCTGATAGTTCTTCTCCAGCAACAGAGGATGAGTCAAAGCGAACTGGCAGGACTTTATCTCCAGCCTGCAGAACATCTGACTGCATCCTGATGGGGAAAGCAGGCAGAAAATGTGAGTGGTTTGGATCTGGCTGAGCTGGGAGCCACTCCATCCCCTGAGAATGGCTTTGGGCTGTTGCTGTGTACAGCGTCTTTGGGGTCAGAGGGAAGTGATGCAGCTCAGCCCTCTGCCCTGCCCTCACTCTTTCCTGGGGCATCACTACCCACAGAGCTTTGTTTGCCAGGTTCTGCTGCCTTCATTTTCCTGCCTGTGGTTCATGGGAAAGCTGTGGACTCCATGAAGCACAAACTGACAGACAGCTCTTGGGGCACCTCCTCTGCAGGCAGCCAGGGGCTGCTGGCATCCCACAGAGCACTCCAGACAAGAAGCAAGGCACTATTTTTCATTTTTCCCCTATCTCAAGGACAAGACAAGGACAAACCCCCTGGGTTGCATTGTCTGCTCTGAGGCACGTTGAGGAACTTACAGGGGAAACATCTCTGTTGTGTCTCCTGCCAGTGCAAAGGGGCAGATGAGAGAAAGCAGAGAGGGCCGGGGCTGGTGGGGAGCAGCAAGATGCTCGCTGCTGTATGGAGGAGCAGGGCAGTGTGGGACACCTCAGCAGTGGGGTGGCTGCCATGGACCAGTGAGGTTCTGCACCTGGCTGCTGCCTGAGCTGAATGGAAATGGAAGGGATACAGATGACCTAAAGAAGAGTGGTAATGAATGAAGAGAGGTGAGAGAGGCCTTTTGACCTCACAGATATCAAGATATAAATGCCTCAAATTCAGATCCTACTTTGATTTTTGCCCAGAGCCCGCATTAAGGTGAATCTCTTCTCACCCAGGCCTCACCCATAGCCCACCCTGACCAGGAAATGCTGATGCTGGCATCTGAGGATTCCTCCTCCCACCTCCCCCTTTCCTCTCAAGTGGCTGTGGGAAGCAACAACTTCTTTTCTGTTATTTTTTCCTCATCCATCAATGCAATTCCAGGGGTGAGAAGTCCGAAATAAAAGGTGAGCAAAAAAACCTCACACTTCCCCTGGACATTCCTGCTCACAAAATAAATCAAGATAGATGGGCCAAGAGCTGCACAGCAAAGATAGAAAAGAAGGGTTGCAGCCAGGGGAGAGCTGGCGTTGCGGCCCTGCAGCCCGGGCTCCATCCCAAAAGTTCAGGCTGTGCTCTCCCTGCTCCCCACCACATGGGCAGGAAGGAGGATCCTCTCCAGGGGCTGAAGATGACTCAAAGTGTGTTGTTAAGAGGCTTTCCAGGAAAGAAAGGCCTGGAGAAAAGCTGAGTGTGTCTGGACAGGGTCATCGAGGGAGAGAGCAGCAAGGAACCCGAGCACGTGAAGGTGACCACGTGGCCCACATGGCACCGCTGGCACCTGGTAGGAGAATGCTGAGAGACATAGAAAAAGAATCCTAACAAGTTTTTGCCTGATTTCTAGCTGGTGCTGAAGGTCCTGAGGTGCTGCTGGCTCATATATCTAGAAAGCATCCAAAATCCCCCTCTCTTCATCCCCTGATATTCAAGGCTTGCTCCCATTTAAAGGAAGATGGCCATGGGAAAAGCAGCTTTCATAGGATTGTGGAATAGAACATCTGGAGTTGGAAGGGACACGTGGGGATCATTGAGTCCAATAGTTTTTTTCAAGGATGATCTGAAGCAATAAGTGTAAATTTAGGGGAGATAGAAGATGGCCCCACATATTCCCCCAAGCCAATATCACATTTATTATCATTCATACACACTGACAGCCCAGCACAAAGGTTTATGAGCCAGGAGTACACAGCCCTAATATGATACACATCTTCCCAAGAAGGCTCCATCCTTGATGGCTTAATTAATTAAATTTACGTGATGCTCACAGTACAAATCCATCACCAAACATGCCTGCACACACCAGGTCTGCAGAAGAGCTGAGATATGTAAACCCAAATCACTGCCCCAATTCTGCATTCCCATCCGTGCAGCAGGGGGAATAGGAAGGAGAAGGGATTCGTGCCTGGTTTGGTGCTTGGTTGTTTTTTTTTTTTTTCCTAGAGGAGTGATTTTCGGTACGGCTCTCCGGATGTCTTCAGTGAGAAGGCTGGGGCAAAGCGCAGCTCCGTGCCAGCCCGTGGCAAGGCAGCCCTCTGCTGGTGTTACGAGTGATGCGATGCGATGCTTTGCGTTAAAAATCGACATTCAGTTAAAAGTAGACAATAAAGATGTGGGTGCCGGCAGGTTGAGGAAGCCGAGTTTCTCTCCTTTGGGGTGAAATCCCCGCGTGCTTTTGCTCTCGGCACCCGGCGATGCTGTGAGAGCAGAACCCGCCTTTCGTGGGGCCGATGCAGCCCTGCAGCCCTCTGTCCCAGCACTGCAATCGGCTTTTAGAGCCGTAGAATCACCAAATTATCCCACTTCTAAGGGGCCCTATGGGAACTACAGCGCTGCACCGAGGGATGGGTAAACAGCTTTGTATGGAATGAGGGGTTTGAGGCATTGGATGCTGAAGAAGCAGCACTTGCGAGCCACGGGAGCCCTCTCGTGGCTGTGCTGAATGCATTTATGTTGAGATCATCTATTCCTCTCCTCCATTCAGTCGCTTCTCACTCCAGCTCTCCAGCAAACCCAGCTCGGCGCTGCAGCCAGATCCCCAAGCGCAGCTCCCAACCTCCGCAGCGAAGGCATTTCCCTGGGGATGGACTGGCAGGAGACGAGCCCAGGACTCCGATTTAAATCTCAGACGAATGTTCCGAGTGAGATTTCTTCCAATCTGCTTGTTTTAAGAGCAAAACGAATGGAAGTGATTGCGGGTGTGAGTCCTTCTGCCCTGCGAGCTCTCCGGGCTGCGGGGCGGCACTGACACCCAGCGGCAATGCTTTGCAGCGGAGAGCTGAGCTCCTCGCTCTGCTTTCTAGCCATCGTCTGCCCCATGCTGTGATGAGGGCTGAAGGCAAAGCAAACGGGATGAACAGATCCAGCAGCCTGGCACAGCAGAGCACCGCAGAGATTCCCCAAAGGGTACAACCTGGTTGTACGATGGGCCTCATCCCCACGGCCAAAAACCCCCAGGAGATGGGTGCTGGGCAGCACGAGCACAGGGAGACACAGAAGGGCACAGTCACTGCATGGCTGTGCAGGGCTGGGGTCGTGCAGAAGGGAAGACGTTTGCAAGATGCGTGATCAAAAGAGTCTTTAAATCACAGTGACTACACTAA